CTTCCTTCCACAAGAACTCAGCAGCTGAAGTCTTTTTCATTCCTTTTTATCCTTTTTCATTTTTGTTGATATTCTTTGATTCTTTTAATTCTTTTTGAAGATGTTAGATTACAGATTAGAGTAACAGTATAGATAATATTAGAGTTACTTATAAATGTCCAGACCCTGGGCAAAAAGAGAAGCTCTTGGCTGGTAGAGTAGACACAAAATCTGAGCTGCTTCATGTGTTCCTGAGTGGTGCAGTGGACTAAGCCAGCACCCCAACAGGAGGTTGTGAGTTTGAGCCCCAGCAATGCCACAGCCATCCGTAAGTACATACGCAAGAGGAAAAATGTCCAGCAGCATTGTGTGATGGAAAGAGTCCTGGCTAGTGGGGAAGTTGAGCATAAAAAAACAGGATTATTTTATTTACTTAACTGAGATGCAGAGCTAGAAAATTAAGAGAACTTTTGACTCAACTAAGAGGTTTGTGTGAACTCTTGTGTCCTCAAGTTGTTTCAACTGAAGAAAAGCCATGTAATCAGTTACTATATCATTTTGAGTTGAGCTGACCTCTCACGTTTAACAGTGTACTGAAAATACACTGAGACATTGTTGTACAATAGTTTTAGCCTAAAACTTTTTTATCCAATCACGGCAGAGAGGTATATTTATGCAGAGTGTTGTGAGGCTTACGCTATTTTACACCATCATCAACATTACATATAAAAACTCATGTGTAGGTTCACTTGTGCTTTTAAATATGGTATATAAAATGGTTAAACATCTGCTGTATACATGGTGACCCCTGGTTCCTTTCACCACCACTGTAAAGGAGTCTGTGAGTTTCTCTATAAACCATTTCACATCAAGGCACGACTTTGTTTACATCTCAATGATAAAACTATGCAGAAATTTTGAAAGATCAGTGGACTTCCCCTTTTACATACTGCACTATGTTTGATCATACATTTCAATATATGTAATAGGAAATAATTACATTTATATCCGTGCTAAGTGGAGAAGAGATCAGAACATCCAAACTATTTAAAGATCACTTATGATTGGTCAGGATGCTCACAGCACACAATAAACAGTGGAAGCAATTGGTTAGAGGCTCATTTACATATTGCACACCAATGACTGCACCAGCAGCTGTAAACTGCTTAGAGAAGGATCCAGAAAACTGGACCAGGTACGCAGTGTTGGGCCATGTGAGGCTGTACTTCTTCTTAAAAGACTGACCTGAGAACTGATGGCATACTTCAAGTAGGAGAGAATTAGGGGGTTTGGTGAAGGTCCAATCATCGCCTGCTCCAGCAAAGCTTCTACAAGATGACAGAAAAACAGCAGCTACACGACATTGTTTGAAAAAAGCATCTGATGATTTAGAGATGCAGTTTCAGCATCACTTTAAAGAGCCCATATCACAAAAAAATCTAATTTACCTTACAAAGTACCACTCACTGCACAGACCATACAGTGCATACATGGAAACTAAGCTGCAAAAACTACCAGCTTTGAGCTCCCTGGTTTTGTGATGTCACAAATCCTAATACACTGATTATTTATTTACGTATTCAGCCTACACTAGTTTAGCTCCGCCTATTCAGGAATAAGAGATAAGCAGTGTTTCAACATGGACAGATTTTTGAATGAGGCACAATACAGGACAGCCAATCAGAACCAAGCTCATTTACATACACCGATCTGTCATAACATTAAAGCCACCTCCTTGTATCTACCCTCACTGTCCACTTTTTTGGGTGGTGGATCATTCTCAGCACTGCAGTAACACTGACATGGTGGTGGTGTGTTGGTGTGTGTTGTGCTGGTACGAGTGGATCAGACACAGCAGTGCTGCTGGAGTTTTTAAACACTGTGTCCACTCACTGTCCACTCTATTAGACACTCCTACCTTGTCAGTCCACCTTGTAGATGTAAAGTCAGAGACGATAGCTCATCTGCTGCTGCACACTTTGTGTTGGTCATCCTCTAGTCCTTCATCAGTGGTCACAGGACGCTGCCCACAGGACGCTGTTGGCTGGATATTTTTGGTTCTCAGTCCAACAGCGACACTGAGGTGTTTTAAAACTCCAGCAGCACTGCTGTGTCTGATCCACTCGCACCAGTGCAACAAGGAGGTGGTTTTAATGTTCTGTCTGATCAGTGTATATCAGTCTTAAAGGTACTGCAACCAAAAGGGCCCTATAAGCATTAAAGGCGAACTCCTCTACAGAACACAGTGAAGTAGCCCGAATCGCACCTGCCAGATTGAGGTAGTCCCATGTTGCACCTTTGGGGCAGTTTTTCTTAATGTTGATGGCCCACTGATAGTCGCTCCAGCGCTCCTTCCATGCCTGCAGGATGGCCTGTTTCAGGTTTACCACCTTCATCTTTCAGAACTGGAAAAAGAGACTCATACGAGTAAGGACAAACTGAAAGAGACCTTCTCTTCTCCAACCACACATTTTTATTTCTGCATAATTTAGCCATGGAGATGTAAACCAAGTCATTCAGAGTGGTTTAATGTGAAATGCTTCATTGTAGGGACTCAGATGTCTTTACAGTGGTGGTGATAGGAACCAGGGATCACCATGACTACAACACAAATATAGCCATATTTCGCCTTACAATGCTCTTACAACTATATAAACTGAACCTGATAATTCAAACCTTGTGAATTTTTAGTGTGGCACCCTACATTAAGTGTTCAGGCTGCAAGTCTGAAAAAATGGATGTGCTTGTTGGTGGAAAAAAAAGGCCTGTGGTCACTTGCATGAAACATCTTAAGTTAATTTTGGCCTTACGTTTTCCTATTTATCTTAAGTAAGCTGCCTAAAATCTCTTCAGGTAAATGTTTAACTGGGAAGTAAAAAAAATATCCATAACTGTAAATTGTTTTAGGCCCTAAGTTTAAGTTTGAGCACTTCTGAGTTACATTGATATTTACAGCTTTAAATTTATCCCTTAAGTATTTAACTTAAGAGAAATACCTTTGTTATTAAACACTGTGTTATGCAAGCGTCATCGGAAGTTTAATTTATGGAGAATAACAGCATTTAAATCCAAAAAAACACAATTAGATGTTTTCCCCATATCATTCAGCCCTAGATTTCTTTGAGGAAGCTTTTAGACGTGGACGTCTGGCTCCTATCATAAAACAGTGTCTCAGACACCAGGCAGTGAATTCATAACCATTTTCTGTAGTAACTTTCTGTGAGGGAGCTTTTTAGAGGTGGACGTCTGGTTCCTATCACCACCACTGTGAACAATTCTGACTCTGTAAGTTTCTCTAGAGCAGAGCATTTCACACCAAACCACTCTGAATGACTTTGTTTACATCTTAACCATTTTATTAGGCAGAAAAGTCTGAAATAAATCAGTTTCTCCTCTTTTAAAGGACGACAAAGGTTTGGCTCCTGTGTTCATGCAGCAGTTTATACACCTACATGTTGGTAGCGACGGAACATTTCATAGTTAACACTAAATATCCCACGATTATTAATGAAAATAATAAAATAATATCATTAAAAATATCAAATACAGCGTAAATAGGCACGAGGCTGAAACTGTCTTCCTATTCGCCAGCTTCTTGTTCGAATTGTCCGTTCCACCTTAAATAGTGCCGTACTTACACTGTGGCGCCTCAGGCTCCGTAATGTAACTGCTGCACCATTTAAGGTGGAACGGCTATTTGCATAAGAAGCTAATTTCAGCATCGCTTTCTACAAAAACAAACACACACACAGCGCACAGATAACGCTCCACAGTAACAGAACGGACTTCTATCAACGCCGTACTTATGAATATAATCCAATAATACGCTTTTACCTGAGAATATTCTTTATTTTGGGATAAAAACGATGAATCTTGATTTCTATTCAGACCGATATCACACAACCAGAGCCATGTTGGAAACAACAACGCGCCCTGTGATTGGTCGAGCGTGCTGAGTGTGCTTACACACTATTGGTTAGCTGATGTCGGCTTCGTCTAATCGACGTGGGTGTTTGGTATTCAAACCCCACCTGACCGTTAAAGAGCCAGTCTGACCGTTTTCAGAAGCAGAGAGCTTGAGAAACGCACTGACCGGCCATTTCATTAAAACCACCTCGTTGTCTATTTTATCAGCTCCCCTGACCATACAGGAGCACTTTGTAGTTCAGCAGTTAGACTGTAGTCCATCTGTTTCTCTGCATACTTTGTTACCCTGTTCTTCAGTGGTCAGGACCCCCATGGACCCTCACAGAGCAGGTACTATTTGGGTGGCGGATCATTCTCAGCGCTGCAGTAACACTGATGTGGTGGTGGTGTGTTAGTGTGTGTTGCGCTGGTCTGAGTGGATCAGACACAGCAGTGCTGCTGGACTGAGAATAGTCCACCAACCAAAATATCCAGCCAACAGCGTCCTGTGGGCAGCGTCCTGTGACCACTGATGAAGGACTGGAGGATGACCAACACAAAGTGTGCAGCAGCAGATGAGTTATCGTCTCTGACTTCACACCTACAAGGTGGACCAAGAAGGTCGGAGTGTCAGTGGACACCACCACGTCACCAAACCACATCAGTACTATTTTGTCTTATAATGCCCTGCATGTATTTCAAGGTATTAAAAAAATTCTAGGCCAAATTCTTCTCATAACTACCGTGTCTCAGACACCAGGCAGTGTATTCTATTCTTTTGATGTAGTAACTTTCTGTGAGGGAGCTTTCAGAGGTGAACGTCTGGTTCCTATCACCACCACTGTGAAGAATTCTGACTAAGTTTCTCCAGAACGGAGCGTTTCACACCAAACCACTCCGAATGACTCTGTTTACATATTAACGATTTCATCATGTGGACATCTTGAAAAATCTGTTTGATTATCTTGTTCCCACACCTTAGTACCTTGTGCCACGCATTATTGAAGTTAAGAAGGCATCTCTCCATCAGGGCTCCGCATGAAGCTGTGTAACGCCATACATTTCCTATGCAGTTCCACAATTAATAACAATAAGGGGGCACTTATTAAGATAATTCACCTGTATTTTCTAGTATTTCCAACATTTTTAACTTAAAATACTTTTCCAGTATTCACAGTTAATCATTTTTCCAAAAAAAAAGTTTATTAAGCCGCCATCCAATCGTACAGATTTAAAAGCCTTCATATTACATAATAACCACAACTGCAGTATTTACATCTGAAAAGTGACTGTCCTTCATTAATTCAGCTGTGAGGCTTATTGTGCTGTGCGCTAAAGCACAGAGGCATGCTGCCATCAAGTGGTCAGTAACTTTTGTCCATCTCCGCTATGCCCGCTGTCCTTTTTGCTGTGGACTCCGTTCTGCTTCTCTGTCCTGTCTCGTCCGCTTGTTGAAAATGGCAGGATGGCCTTCTTTTTCACAAGACAGGGGTCCGCACTTCTGGTGTCCTCGCACGCCTGAAATACAACATGAGTGAAATTAAAAACTTTATCGGTTCACCACTGATAGCTTCATCGTAGGTCCATAACTTATTGTTGTGAAATAAAGGTGGTTTAAAGCAGTATGTTGTGTTTATTGTGGCTGATTTTGAATAAAGAGATGTATGTATGTAGTTGACTGACTGACATCTAATAGTTTGAAAGACAGAAAAAGATAATATACATACACTATTTGGACAAAAGTATTGGGACACCCCTCTTAATTCTCGAGTTCAGGTGTCTACAGCCATTGACAACAGGTGGATAAAATTAAGCACATAGCCTTGCGGCCTCGGTAGACAAACACTGGCAGTAGAATGGGTCGTACTGATGAGCTCAGTGACTCTGGCACTGTCATAGGATGCCACCTCTGTTGCAAGTCTGAAATATTTGTCCTGTTAGATCTGCCCCAGTCAACTGTAAGTGCTATAATTGTGAAATGAAAGCATCTAGGAGCAACAACAGCTCAGCCACGAAGCGGTAGACCCAGCAAACTGCATGGTCAAGCAGCTGCATGCAAACCTTACATCACCAAGTGCCAAGCATTGTGTAAAGCTGCCACTGGACTCTGGAGCAGTGGAAATGTATTCTGTGGAGTGACATATCACTTTTCTCTATCTGGCAGTCTGACTGGACTGGACGCTGGCTACTAGTGTGGATGTTGGCACTTGATTCGGATTGGCCAGTGTTTGGGAGTAACAGTTGGTGCACTGCACCCCCTGCTGACCAGAGCGGAAACTGATTCACTGCGTTGAACATGAAAAGAATGAAATGGGTCATTTGCAGATGCTAGCCTGTTGAAAGGTGTGATTATTTTCCTAAAAGACAGGATTCTTGGGTTTTATTATTGATTAGTATTATTACTGATATTATTATAGAGCTCTTCTGGGATCTATTCTGCATATTTCTTGTGGATGCAGAAGGATTGTGTTGTTTTTTATCACTCCCAGCATGAAATCATTACTTTGAGTTTGCTGCATCCACACATGCCCAACACACTTTAAAAAAGCTGGTTCTTCAAGGGTTCTTTAGTAAAGAACATGTTTCTATATAGAGACATGAACACTCAAAGAACCCTCTGCATGATTAAAGTGTTCTTTGCATCATGAAAGTGTTCTTCAGATTGATGGAGAATGTGTTTTATATGGTTCTATATAGAACCTTTTTGAAAAGCGTTCTTCAATTGTTACAGGCTTGACACCGTAACAATAGAAGAACCCTTTTTGGTGCTGTATAGAACCATCTACAGCATATTCTCCATCAGTCTGAAGAACCATTTAGCGCTAATCATGCAAAGGGTTCTTCGACTGTTCATGGTTCTATATAGAACCATTTTCTTTACTAAAGAACCCTTGAAGAACCATCTCATTGAAGCGTGTAGGAGCACATGTCCTTTTGTTTCATCAAAACTGTAGCTCTTCTTTATTTTTGCCTTTTCCAGCATATGTTGTGTTTTGGATGCTGGTATGTTGGTCAACCAGCATGATCATACTGGGTGACCAGCTAGACAAGCACTAGACCAGCTTAGGCCAGCATGGAATTCATGCTGGTCTGTGCTGTTTTTTTTTAATCAGCGTTCTTTATTCATTTTAATAACTTTGGGGAAAGTAGTAAAGCATGTTGTTCGTCTGTTTAAAGCTTTGTATGCTGCAAATCAAGCCTGAAAAACATTATTTTGGGAGTGTACACTGATCAGTAGCAGTAAACACAGGCCTACATTTGGATTTGTTAGCAATCAGGATGCATACTGACTGCGACTGATGCCAAACCAAGACTAGCCAAGGCTAAAATGCATAAAGACATTGTTTCATCTGCTCTGGTTTGACTAACATGCAGTCTAGTGTCCAAATTACCCCTTTGTATTTGGGGGTTCCCATGTTGGCTGGCTACTAACTCACTTGCCATAGCAGCACTAATGCTAGCTTCATAACATCAGAGCTGGTTTATGAGGAGCCTGGCCTCTTCCTATTTCCCCTATTATATCAAATACAGGACAACAAAATGCCAGAGGGCGTCCACAAGCGAATCTCTAGTGAGCTAAACGGCTAAAAATGAAAAGTTAAAATAGTTTCTAATCACTCACCCAGTACTTTCCTTTAGTTTTAGAAAGTAGAAGGATGTATTTCACTAAAGAAAACTAAGAAAACTCACCTGTATGTTTCCTTTTTTTCTACAGCAAACAGGTTTTGGGCAGCAGGACGCTAACATTACTGCTACTCAGTGCTGATTGGCTAGCCTTTCTGCTACTGAGGGCTGATTGGTTGGCGAGCAGAACAGCTCATTGGCTGTTTGCGCTCACTGACATCATGAACGTTCATGAGGTGCTGATTTAAACTCCTATAACTCGAGTTCAAAAGCTCAAGCTGTGTTCAGGAAATGATTGTATTCTTTTACATTAAAAATGTTTCAGCATTTATAAACTATGATTTTGCTCACATGCTCCATATCAACCCATTCATTTTGGACTCACTCGGGAGCGCCCCCTAGTGTTTGAGAAACCCAGAAGACATTACAGAGTGGTGGTTCTCCTCTCTACAAGTTCTCTGATACGGTTTGGTTTAACAGTTACTCGTCTGGAAATGCTCTTTTCTAATTTGGCGATGTGATCTCACACATCTGCTCTTTTGTCTTCGGTTTGAGAAATTAGTAATAATTCACGCTTTCCACCAAACGTTTGGGAAACTGGGGAAGTTTTCAGATTTACAAATATACTGCGGCACATTGAAGTCAAAGGTGTTCCAAGCATAGTCACAGTTGCTAAGCTATTCACTAATGAACAGCATAATGTGTTACGTTTACTTTAAGGGAATTTTGATTTCGAGACATCCAGGAGTCCCGGAACCCCCCACGACCCCATGAATTTCACATCTTGATGTCCTCACCTCATCCGAATGTTCAGACAGGCTGCGGTACGGCTGGGAGGACTCGGGTTTGCCGGACCTGCTGTGGGTTTCCAGAAGACCAACAGACGACTCTTCATCCTGGCTAGAGCCCTTCCAAACGGAGAACAGATGGTCATAACATTCAGTCCTTAACACACTGAAGTGAAGGTTACTTCAGATATACACTATATGGACAAAAGTACTGGGACACACCTCTTAATCATTGAATTCAGGTATTTCATTCAGTCTCATTGCCACAGGTGTATAAAATCAAGCACCTAGCCATGCGGTCTGCCTGAACACACGTGTGAAAGAATAAGTCGTTCTAAAGAGCTCAGTGAATTCGACGGTGGTGCTGTGATAGGATGACACCATTGCAACAAGTCAGTTTGCAAAATTTCTTCCCTCCTAGATATTCCACGATCAACTGTGAGTGGTATTATTGGAATTATTATTAAGTGGAAGCGTTTATGAACCATAGCAACTCAGCCACAAAGTGTTAGACCACGTAAAGTTACAGAGTGGGTCGCCGAGTGCTGAGAAGCAGAGTACATAAAAGTCTCCAACGCTCTGCTGATCAGTAACTGCAGAGCTCCAAACCTCCTCTGGCATCAACATCAGCACAAAAACTAAGCGCCAGGAGCTTCATGGCAGGGTTTCCATGGTCGAGCAGCTGCATGCAAGCCTTACATCACCAAGCACAATGCCAAGCGTAGGATGGAGTGGTGTAAAGCGCCACCACTGGACAGTGGAAACATGTTGTGTGGAGTGACGAATCACGCTTCTCTATCTGGTCTGATGGACGAGTCTGGGTTTGGCAAATACCTGCCTGACTGCACTGTGCCAGCTGTAAAGTTTGGCGGAGGAGGGATGATGATATGGGGTTGTTTTTCAGGGGTTGGCCTAGAACCCTTAGTTCCAGTGAGGAGGAATCTTAATGATTCAGCAGAACAAGACATTTTGGACAACTGTATAGTTCCAACTTTGTGGGAACAGTTTGGGGAAGAACCTTTTCTGTTCCAGCGTGACTGATGACTGAGCCCCAGTGCACAAAGCAGCTCCATAAAGGCCTGGCTGGGTGAGTTTGGTGTGGAAGAACATAACTGGCCCTCACAGAGCCCTGACCTCAACCCCACTGAACACCTTTGGGATGAACTAGAACGGAGATTGCGAGCCAGACCCTCTCGTCCAACATCAGTGTCTGACCTCACAAATGCTCTTCTGGATGAATGGACACAAAGTCCCACAGACTCTCTCTAAAATCTTGTAGAAAGCCTTTTCACAAGAGTGGAAGCTGTTAGAGCTGTAAAGGGGGACCAACTCCATATTAATACCTATGGATTTAGAATGGGATCATAAAAGCTCCTGTAGGTTTAAAGTGTAGGTGTCCCAATACTTTTGTCAATATAGCGTAGTTATTCAGCTTTTGTTTAGGGTTTGAAGTTTGCTTCCTTAGTTTTGCACTGCAGCTATGAGGCTAACATAGCTAACAAGTAACAGAAGCTTAAAGCTCACAATTTGGCAACGTTGAAACAAGTGTAACCCATACATCACTTCAGAGAAGGTCTACGAGGGTTAGGAACAGACCGACAATACTCATGTCAGCCACTGGGGGGCACTGACCACCAAGTATACCTAAGATCCTGTGACACTTTTAAAATTTTACCAATATTTAAAAAAATCTTCACAATTCAGTTGTTGAGATGTAAACAAAGTCATTCAGAGTAAGTGATGTCAAATTGTAGAGAGACTGTCCAAAACCACCAGTGAACCTACATGTGTTATGAGTCCTTATATGGAATGTTGATAAAGGAAATTCAGAAAAAAATACATTTTCTGGGGGCTATTTTGCCTCTGAACACCCTGGATGTATCCTTCCACCATGAATGCATTTAAAAATTACATATCAGGCCAAAATTTTACCTCAAAACTATCATAAAACAGTGTCTTAGACATCAGGCAGTGAATTCATAACCATTTCATGTAATAATTTGCTGTGAGGGAGCTTTTAGAGGTGGACGTCTGGTTCCTATCACCACCACTGTGAACAGTTCTGACTCTGTAAGTTTCTCTAGAGCAGAGCATTTCACACCAAACCACTCTGAATGACTCTGTTTACGTCTTAACCATTTAATTAACAGAAAAGTCAGTGGAATTGCCCTCTAAGGCCATAGACCCCATGTGATATTATTGTTAGAATTCATTTGGGTCTTGCTAGACTTAAAGTGATGGTTTTACTAAACGCCTTACTGTAAATGGTCAGTCAAGACATGTTTAGTGTCTAAAAAAACTGCTTCTTCAGTTTTGTACTGGAGGCTAAAGGAAGCTTATACCTTCCCAGTTAGCATTCTGCTAACTGCATGCCTAAATCATCACACACTTGCCTTAAATGGGAATTTCTGCATAATTAAGCTATTAAGATGTGAACAAAGTCATTTGGAGTGGTTTGGTGTGAAACGCTCTGTTCTAGACAAACCTACCGAGTCAGAACTGTTCACAGTGGTGGTGATAGGAACCAGACGTCCACCTCTAAAAGCTCCCTCACAGAAAGTTACTACATGAAATGGTTATGAATTCACTGCCTGATGCCAGAGACACTTGTTCATTGTTCTAATAGTTTTTTTTGGCATAAAATTTTCATGACGGAGGGGAACATGGAAGGGGTTATGAGGCAAAATAGTCTTCAATGAAAACTTTTTTCCATATTTACTACTATTTAACCATCATCAGCATTACATATAAAACTTAGGAGGACACAAGTACATTCACTGGACATTTTGGATAGTAAATAAAATGTGTTGTAAGCATGGTGACCCCCGGTTCCTATCATCACCACTGTAAAGACATCTCTACAATCAACCATTTCACATCAAACCACTCTGAACGACTTGGTTAATGATTGAATTATGCAGGAATTTTGAAAAATCGGTGGAATTCTCCTTGTACATCACCATAGGAGGTCAGTCTGTAGTAATTCTCTTTTTAGGACTAATCATGCATGCTTATATTCTTCTCTCCTCTTATCCAAAATGTATCCACAATTTTTTGAAATATTGGTGGATTTCCCCTTCAAGGTTCTTACTGTAGTTTTATGTGAAGAATCAAATAAAATGTAATCTTTGAATATAAAAGGTGTCACTGATGGTAAAACCATTGATAAAAGCCTTTTAAATCTTGCTGTCCTGTGCCAGAGTGACTGACCGGGGCCGGTGTTACCTTAGACAGAGACTTGGTGGGAGACTGGCTGGAGGATTTGGGGGAGCTGGACCCCCTGATTCTGTCACTGAACCAGGAGAAAGGCACAAAGGGGGGTCCGGAGGAACGTGTGGAGCGCCCCTCTGCTCTCTCAGGCTCTCTACAATGCATACACATGTACAAGACACAAAGAAAGTGACCTGAACAAATACATCAAATAAATATACACCATCGCTAGCAAAATGTCCCATTGATTTCTGGAGGGCAAACAGAGGGATGGTCATGCAGCACACAGACTCCACCCTTACCGGCTTCCTGCTGATAGCCTGTTGCCTCTGTCCTTCCTGACCTTCCCATATGTGCGACGCAAAGTGACCCTGTCCAGAGAAACACATCAGCAGTGTTCAAGTGTAAGCGATACTTGTTTGAAAGAAGATTCACAATCAGTCTTAAAGAGAGAATTATTCAGGACTGAGCTCCTCTGATGACGTAAAAGGCAAATTCCACCGATTCTTCAAAACATTTCCTTATTATAATATTTATAAGAGATACTGAGTGTGTTTACCTGCACTTAATAATCCGATCATAATGGGATTTCTGCAGTTATCTGATTATTCAAATGGTCATGTATACAGCACACTCCGATTTCTTAGATCAGAGCAAGGTTAAGAAATCTGATAAAGAGGCTGGATTTTAGCTCAGTAATCAGATTTCTCAGTGCAGCTGAACTCTTACTCTGATTTCTTTCGGATTTCTCAGTCTGCGCATGTGCGAAAACAGACGGCGGTACCGGAAATAAGTGAGCAGTGTTGCTGCGAGAGGCAGTGAAACACTTTCGGAGCGACGCTGAAACCAAATACATGCTTGACAAAATGAAGAACTTAAATATTCTTCATCTTCTAAGTGATGTATGTTTATATTTTTAGGTAAAGTGGTGCCATGTTTAAAAAAATCCAGCATGAATTTTGAGTTTTACGTTAAGTTTACATCACATCTTCTTCTGTGAGTTTATTGGCTCATTGCAAAGCAAATCTGATTACTGTCTGACTCATGTGGACCTGGAGTTTCCCCATTATCTGATTACTCAAGTGCATGTAAATGCGGTGATTGGATTACTGACAAAATCTGATTTTCTGCCGTTCTAAAAATTTTATTTCAAATTTTAGGCTGATTATTAAGTGCATGTAAACACACTCACTGTTTCATATAGTTTTGTGATAAAGTTTTGACTTAAAATGTATTTTAATCAATTGATTTTATTTGATTCATGGTGGAACAGTACACGCAGAGTGTTTTTAAAATACATACATACATACATCATCTAAACCGCTTATCCTTCTGGGTGGCGGGTTTTTTAAATAGTTTAAAAATAAACTTATTTTTTCAGATTTATGCCTATTTTACCATCATTGTCCTTACATATAAACTCAGAACACACGTGTAGGTTCACTGGTGCTTTTGGATAGTAAATAAAATGGCTATATTTGTGTTGTAGTCATGGTGACCCCTGGTTCCTATCACCACCACTGTGAAGACATCTGAACCATTTCACGTCAAACCACTCTGAATGACTTTGTTTACATCTGAAGGACTGAATTATTTAGAAATTTTAAAAAAATTGGTGGAACTCCCCTTTCACCATTTAATTATGAAAAAAGTATGAATGCTGGATTTCCGCTTTATCCTTGTACTGACCCCAGGTCGAGGAAACGTCTTCGGGTCTTCTTGTCCAGCAGTACTGTTGGGCTGCCTGGTTCATCTGAACCAATGTCATGGTTGTCATCTGGACACAGTAAAGTTAGTCTATGAACTTTCACAATAAACAGAAGAAAACATGATTAATAACAATGATACATTTTAGGGTTCATTCAAAGATGGCTAAAACAGCAGTCTGTGTGATGCGGCGCGCAGTGGGATTTTTATTGTCCAGTTTTACCAGGGATAGCTTTATATGATGCAATCACTAAAGGGTCACTATTAAAAGTGTGACCAGTGAAGAAGCCTCAGTGTGAAAAGGCCTGTTAGTGTAAGCAGACGGCGGCAGCACGGCAAAATGGTGCTAAATGTTGCTTCACGTTCAACTTTCAGTCATTCACGCTACCAGTAGCGTGTGTGAAGCGTCTGGTTGTGAGGACCAGGCCCTGACACTGTGGTGTCGTCGGGTACAGCTGCCTGAAGGAGACGGCGCTGCAGGCAGATTCGTCTCTACCTAATAAGCGACATAAGTAGCTGCTAAGGGTCCCGTGGCCATAAGGAGGCTCCCTAACAACTTTTAGGTCGTTGCTCTAATTTAGCATTATGTTGTCTAATAAGACGCTGGAATGAGGGATAAAAAGTGACGGGTTACCATGTCTCAAAAAGAGAGAAAAAGCTAAAGCCATGTTTTGATTTTATGTTGAGATGTTAATGTTATGTCGTTTTATTTATTTATTTATTTATTTATTTTTTTTAATTTTGGTCAGACGACAAGAGGTAGTCAATCAGATGCAGATTTCTCTAATTAATAGCCGGTGAGTGGAAGTACGAGGGAGGTGTTTCTTATAAAGCGGCTATCTGGTAGAAATTCATCATGAATATTCGAAATTCCTACCTTCACTCTGAGAGGGGTCCCTCTGGCGCAGGAGAGAATGGTCCTCCTCATGCAGCTGGCCATGGTCCCCCTGGCGCAGGTGGGCTGGAGAGGAGGTTTCTGACCTGGTGCAGGGTTTGGAGGGGACGCTGGAAGTTGTCACCAGCAGGGTCTCCTGAGAGGAGGTGTCCAGCAAATGTTTGTACCGGCCTCTCCGCTCTGGAGTCTCAGGGAAAGGGTCTAAGGTGAAGGCTCGGTCCCTCCATGCAGGTGAGGAGGAGGGGAGCTGGAGGTCAGTGGATGGTGAGGAGCAGCGGAGGGAGGCATGGAGAGGAGAGTAGGTGCTGTGGGGAGGGCTGCTGAAGCTCTGGAGCGATAATATGGACATTCCTCAGTGGTAAAATGATAGTTATGTGAAAAACATACAGAACGTCCCCCTTAACCCAGATGTAGGCCTAATCCCATTTCACCCCTTGCCCCTACCACTTAGCCCTCACCTCTCTGTTTTGCACGTTCACATCTAGGGGTAGGGTGTCCCGATTTTTGTTGAGTTGTTTTATCTTAGTTTAATGTCGTTTCAATGTATTATGGTCCTTTTCTTCATAAAAAAACGCTAATAGTATGCTGATGTCTCTGTAGCTAGCTAGCTAATTTTCCCATTCCACCTTAAATAGTGCAGCAGTTTTAATGCCTGAAGCACCAGAATGTAACTGCTGCTCCATTTAAGGTGGAACGGGAAAATGTGTCGCCCTGTTAGCATTATGCTAACTGCATGCCTAAACTGTAGCACACCTGCCTCAAGCCATGCTAAATCAAATAGATTTGGTAATAGACTTGCTGTTATCTATAAAAATTAAATATCTAAAAACACAGTTGGAGCACCTTTGTCTGTACTTGTGTCCATGTTTATAGAGAACATTGTGCTGAAAACTACATTAGCAAGCCTGACTTTGAGCTATCGCTTTAAAAGAGCAGACCAAAGCAGCCACACACACCTTTCCGTCGAGGCTATCTTCCCCCTCCGTAGAGCTCAGGCTGTCTCTGAGGCGGGACCTGGAGGGGCGGTGTCTCCTGGTTTTGATTGACAGCTGGGCTTTCGCTTTTTGCAGACTGCTGTCCAGTCGCTCCGTCTCGGGCACGGCCTCTGTCAGATCTGACCCCATGTTGATAATAAAAAAAATTAAATTATAAAGCATTCAGTTAGTAACATTCTCACCATCTGAGAGTTCAGTTCATCACATCACACGGGGCTGTGTGTGGTACATTTATACAGTGAGAGTAGAGACAGTTCTGAAATTTAACAGTTAATTCATTTTCTCCACAATAGCTCAGATTCTCCACAAGGGGGTGCTATTAGTACAGCTGTAGCTTTTGTGTGCATCATTGGAAAAGAGCCCACAGTGTCAAATTTGATAAAAGGTAGCTTTTTACCTCATCCTGACATAATTAAGAAGATAGAATTCCAGTGCTCAGCCATCATGTATCCTAGGGTTTCAGTCACGTGACTTTTCTGTTGTGGCCGCCATATTTGAGACCGAATTTCTGGCTTTGCTGCTTTGCACGAGCGTAACTAGAGGTGAAAGATGGCTAAAATTACTCTCCTGACTTTGGAAGAGAAAAATCGTTACCTCAACGAACGTCACTGAACTCCTGGATCCACTTAAACTGGCCTAAAAACTACCAAACTTGTGTTTTCCTGACATCTATATTCATCTCATACTCAGCCCCTCCCTAATCTGGAGAGTCTCTCAGAGCATTTAAAAGCACAGAAGCCCACCGGCTCTTCACGTCAGGGTGGGTAAAGGACCCCATGGTGCTGCATAAAGAGGAGAAAACACACTGTGATTATAGGAGGGTAACGACATCAGCTAATTAACACAGATGAGATCAATGCTGGCCTTTAGATAACTTTAGCTGATGTTAACAGCCGAGAGATGAACAGTCGTCCCCCTAACGGAGCTGCAGACAGCCGGTATAACTTTACTCTCTGTTTCTGATTTAAATGACGTTTGAATGGAGAAACATTATCGTTAAATATCAGACTGAATGTTGTGGGTCTGAAAACGACGTCGTGTTTCGACAGACGTGATTCTGTAAGTTTGCTGGTGCAGTTAGTTCAGAGTTCAGCTCCAGTCCTGAAACCCCTGCACTGCATATCTGTGGTTTCCTGGTTAAAATACCTGATATTATCAGCTAATTAATCCCTTCTTGAGCTGAACGAGGTGTGAACAGCAGAGAGAAACACTAAACTATACAGTGCAGGGGCTCCAAGCCTGGAGTGAAAACACTGAATTAAAGGTCTGTGTGTCTCTTGTCTCTTGGCTTCTGATGCGTCTCACAGGTGAATCATTCCCAAAGCACAGCTAATTGAAGGCAGCGCGCTTCACAGTCGATTCGGTCCTCGAAATGGCAGCGACTATACAGTGTGACGACAGGCGAAACGCAAGAATAACGACATTTATTGCACATATATTTAGTATAAATATATAAATACATGCACATATTTTTCAGCTGTTCACAAATTTGCGACCGTGCTCTTTTTGTATTTGCACAGGCCTGGTTTCTCCTAACACATGCAACAACACTGTCGCATTGTTCAGTCCTGCAACAGGGCTAAGCTATGCGCACTTGTTACACGCAATAAAACGCAGAGACCATAAAGCTTTGCTGAAGCTCTATTAAGCTGCCAGCAGCCACAGATTACTTGTTTGAGTGATGGGCTGCCGTTGACCTCCACACAGTGTTATGACGCATTTACTGCAGTAGCGCAGTAGCTGGAGTTAAGGCGCATGTTTATTTGCCATCTGCTTGCAGCCCTCTCACTTACAGCTCACTGCTGTTGACCAAAGCAGCATGATTGCGGGTCTTCCATTGCCAGCATATAGTTTCTCCATCACCAAGACTCCTACCAGACCTCATCGTGGCTGTACGCCGTAACTGGGAGGCCTTTAACCTCCCGGTAAATCTGAAGGGGATCTCTGAGCTGTGGTGGATTCTAGCCATGCTGGACTGCATGCTGAATACTTTTTAAGAGCTTTTAACTCGAGTTATAGGAGTTTAAAACGGCGCCTCATGTGCGTTCATGACCTCAGTGAGCGCGAACAGCCAATCAGCACTGAGTAGCCATATTGCCAGCGTCCTGCTGCCCAAAACTCGTTTGGTGTAGAAAAAAAGGAAACATACAGGTGAGATTTCTTTGTTTTTCAGTGAAACACATCCTTCTACTTTCTAAAATGAAGGGAAAGTTCTGGGCGAGTGATTAGAAACTATTCTAACTTTTCATTTTTAGGCGTTTAGCTCCGTTTTTCAGTCCTGTTTTTTGATATAATAGGGGAAATAGGAAGAGGCCAGGCTCCTCATAAACCGGCTCTGGTCTCGGTCTGGGATCAAAGTGAAGCTGCGTAACAACACTTTTTGGATGGTTTGGAATTTCAGACCTACAGCTGGAAGTTAAGACAGGCTATCATCAGGCATTAAGCTACAGAAGAAGAAAAAGAACGAGGAGAGAAGTGAAAATGAGCTGCGGCAGCGCACGGGGAGAGGAGGAGACCAGATCTTTCACTGTTATTTGGTCAAGCAAAAAAGTCAAAAGTCAACTTGAAAAAACTTATATCAGTTTAAGCTTAAACTTCTACCTTATTTTCTGAGAGGATGAGAAAGAGAATGTTTTTCTTTACTCAGTCGGAAAAAGGCTACCTGCTGAATTGACAACACGTTGACATCAGACGCTCCTCTACAAACCAATCGATGTTAAGTACAGGGAGATGCAGCCCATGTAGGTGATGACGACAGGATGTAGGTGTGTCAAAGTTCTTTGGTGCACTCGTTAAATTGCAGTGTGAAACCAAAATTACCAGATCAAATTTATACACTGTAACATGAACCATGGTCCAGACTTTCTGGTGTGAAAATGCTCTGAGAGGAAGTCTGGGAGGACAAAGGCCAGAGAGAAAAGAAGGCAGTGGGGGCAGTGCAATAGAGTGGACTTCCGGGTACTAGTTGTCTCAGACCGGCCCTTTTCCGCTGGAACCCATCTCTTTCATGCAAAGTATGGATGCCTGGTATAGTGCATTCTCTAACATTTTAAACCAGGTCTTTCAGGTGGTTGTTAGGTACGGACCCCCTGAAAGGACATGGGTAAAAAAATGACATGGGTTTCTCTATGATGGGTAAAAAACTCCTGCAAAATGACCTGAGATTTTTTTTTTCTCAAATTAACATATCTCAGGATAATCATCTCGGGTTATTTATCTCAAGATAATTATCTCAGGATATTTGTGATTGGAATGCTGCCTGAATGACGTATTGGTGCCATCTACTGGACGGAGTGGGTAATGCGCTTAAGTTTTACTTATATATCTCGAGATTTTTTTTCTCAAATGAATATATCTTGGGATAATTATCTCCCGAGATATTTATCTCGAGATTTTTCTCAAATAAATTGTCAATTGAGAAAAAAATCTACGGTCATTTCGCAGACAGGAGGGTTTTTTTACCTATCATAGAAACACCCGTGTCCTTTTTCCCCCCTCCGTAGTTAGGAGTCCCATTTTCTCTGTATCTTTCAATCATTTTCTGATCTCCAGTTTTGGAAACTCTAGTTTGAGGAACACAGAAACACTACTGTTGTATCATTTCAAATTACAGCCTAACTCATAAAGCATCAAGGCCGGATGAGTCTCCTGCAATCGGGACAGTGTAAGCAGGACTAACTCTAGACTATCTGACCTGCAGTAGCCCCTGGTGCTTTAAGAATAAAGGCCAGGCGTTAGAATAGCACTGATCTGGGATCAGCCCTGCCCCTGTTTATGCTCCATATAAGATAAATGGCAGAACCTGATCCTCAAACGACCTGCACACTAACACATTAACACGTACACACCCAGCGCCGAGTCCTTAGCCATGACCCTAACTGTGCAGCACTAATATATTATATATATTTCTAAATGGAGCTGCCGCTGCCGTCCTACTGCCAAGAAATTATAATAAAGAATGAGGAGGACACCCAGCATGGACGCTGGAATCAATATCCAGCAATTGCTCGCTGTCAGGAGCGGCATTGTTCACAGCACAAACTAAAACCATCGATCGGACGCAGCCGTCCAGGCGTGCTGAGCCATTTGCCTCATTAGAGGAGAACAAGTAGAGCTGTTTCAGAGAAGAGAGGACACCCTGTTCACTTACACTAAAATATAGTGATCAGCCAAGAGATGTTTGGTGTCTGAGATTTGCTTCTTTAGTTCTGCACTGGAGCTATAAGGCTAATGAGGCTAACAAGTAGTGGAAGCTAATACCAGAGAACTTATAGAGAGAATTATCAGAGCCGGTTTATGAGGAGTCTGGCCACTTCCTATTTCCTCTGTTATATCAAAAACAGGACTGCTAAACAGCAGAGGGCGCCCGCGAGCGAGTCCTCAATGAATGGGAGTGAATGGAGCTCAACGGCTAAAAGCGAAAAGTTAAAATGGTTTCTAACACAGAACTTTCCTCCCATTTTAGAAAGTAGGATGTGTTTCACTGAAAAAGCAAAGAAAACTCACCTCTATGTTTCCTTTTTTCTACAGCAAACAGGTTTTGGGCAGCAGGTCGCTGGCATTACTGTGACTGAGTGCTGATCGGTTGGCGAGCGGAGCAGCTCATTGGCTGTTCTGCATGACGTCATAGATGTACATGAGGTGCCATTTTAAACTGTGTTCAGGAAATTGTTGTATCATTTTACATTAAAAATGTTTAAGCATTTATAAATCTATGATTTTGCTCAAATGCTCCATATTAACCCATTCATTCTGGACTGGCTCGGGAGCGCCCTCTAGCATTTCGAGAACTCAAATATAGTTTCTATGTGTTTCCATGTCAAATCGTAGTTTATAAATGCTTAAACATTTTTAATGTAAAATGATACAATAATTTCCTGAACACAGAAAACATTTTAACACTGCTGTTATATTTTTACAAGCTTTTAAACTCGAGTTATAGGAGTTTCAAACCGGCACCACATGTACGTTCATGATGTCACTGAGCGCAAACAGCCAGTGAGCTGCACCGCTCGCCGACCAATCAGCACCCAGTAGCAGTAATGTTAGCGTCCTGCTGCCCAAAACTCGTTTGCTATAGAAAAAAGAGAAACATACAGATCAGTTTTCTTTGCTTTTGCAGTGAAATGCATCCTACTTTCTAAAATGAAAGGAAAGTGCTGTAGAAGTGATTATATATAAGTGAAACTAGTTTAACTTTTCGTTTTTAACCGTTAAGCTCCATTTACTCACATTCATTGAGGATTCTTTCCCGGGTGCCCTCCGGCATTTTGCAGTCCTGTTTTTGATATAATGGGGGAAACAGGAAGAGGCCAGGCCCCCCATCTCCACCCCCCCCAGCTAAACCGGCTCTGCTAATACCCCAACAGTTAGCACAGTGCTAACCACATGTCTAAATTATTACACACTCAGCTCAAACTGTGTCGAGTTTTTTTTTTTTTCCTGTGTAATTCAGTGATTGAGATGTAAACAAAGTCATTCAGAGCAGTTTGATGTGAAACGGTTGATTGTAGAGACTCTGATTTCTTTACAGTGGTAGTGAATGGAACCGGGGGTCACCATGACTACAACACAAACATAAACCTTATCGTACAACTATCGCAAAACTGTGTCTCAGACATCAGCCAGTGTATTTGTTAAAATTTCATGTAATAACTTTCTGTAAGGGATTTTTTATTGGCATTAAACTCCTCAGACGTTTGGTTCCTATCACCACCACTGTGAACAGTTTTGAGTCTTTAAGTATCAAAGCACTCTGAATGACTTTGTTTATATCTTAACCATTTAAAGCTGCACCGTGTAAGATTTGGGGATTTGGAGACTCCTGTGGTGAAAATGTATAACGCATGCAACATGCAGAAGAACATTTTGTAGCGTGGATTGTACTTCGGCCTCCTTCCATGGCTGGATGAATCTGATGATTGAAAGAGAATTCAAGGAGAACTCAGTCAAAACTTGGTGTAGGACGCATTTTCCGAGGATGTGAGTGAATTATTTATCACATCTTCATCAGTTTAATCTTGATTTTGAATTTGAGATCTAAACATCAGGCCAGACCTTCTTTATGAGCCTGTGTGTGTGACGCTAATATGTAGAGACGTACGATGTGGTGTGAAAAACTCCCGATTTCGATGCCTCTGACTTACAGGGCGACTCACAGCAGCTATATTTAGCCTGTTTTTATTCTCCTCACTCAGTAATTCTACTTATTTTGATTTCTAATGAACAATTTCACAAAGCACAGCTTTAATTATGTATAAATTTTTAAAAATCTGTGGAATTCCCCTTTAAGTGATCTCTAATAGACTTGCTGTCATGGTGTCTGACCTGTATGACATACTGTTATGTATCAAAACAGACAACTGTCCACATATTTGTCAACAAAGGTGCTTCCTTTGTTACTGATTTATCTCCAGTGTCACCAGTACAGGACGAGGTCAGAGGTGATGGCCAGTTCACTCAATCCTGACCAAGAACCCATAGAAGCTCCATAGATTTCAGTCCACTACAGGCGTGTATGTGGTAAATGGAGGCGTACAGGAGAGGATCTGGTACAGAAGCGTATCCTGTTTCCTGACCGTATTATCTGGTGCAGGAGCTGGAGGGGTGGAGATGGGGGGTAGCCGGCTGCTCGCTGCCCATAATGCACTCTGAGAGTGTGTAAATTAAGGGCTAATGGAGCGGGGGATGGGAGGGTGAAGAGGTCACTCACCAAACACGTCTTCTTCCGTCTCGGCCAGAGGAGTGGACGACATGGCCGTGCAAATCTGGAGGAGAAGAAAACGTAAAATGTTTTCATACAGCAGATAGAAAACTGGGTTTGTTTGTTTGTTTGTTTGTTTTTTTTAAAAGCTATTTTTATGTTAAAAGATTTAAAGATGCACTGTGGGTGCAAGATTGGTTTCATTGTTTGTTACATCATTTTATGTTTAATTTTTTTAATAAATATTGAATATGTTTAAAATTATTACATATTTTCTGTAACTAATTTAAATGATAACATAAATAATAACAAAAATTTAGTAAAAAAGATTCTCCCAAGATTATTTTTTTCTTGTTCACTTGTTTCTTGTTGACTTGTTGTGTTTATTATATTTAATGTAATAATAAAAAACAACAAATATTATATTTTTGTTCTCAGTTTTAAAGATAAAATATATATTAAAGATAAAAATTTTATTAAAAATGGAAAACAAGACAAGACACTGTAGGTACAAAACTGATGTACTATTTTGTTTATTTTTAATTTTAATTATGAATAATTATTTTTAAATATTAATTTATATTTTTTATATATCTGGGGGCTTACTTATTTTTTATATAGACATATTATTTTTAAACTAAATATATTTTGTGGAAATTACAAAAAATAATAAATAGATTTTTCATGCACTGATTTATTTTTTAAATTAATTTGAAAAATGAATTAGAAAAAAGAGATTAATTGAACTTGATTGATTAAACTGTGGACATCATTTCCATATGAATAACCTATAATATCAACACAGTTATGTCTTTCAGTTTCAGTTATACTGTATTTATATTTTATTTATGAGTAAATTCTGTATTTATGTAACCAAATTCAGTGCAGCATGTTTTCCACAGCACAATCTTCCATACGTTTCATGTCCACTTGGTTTTATTAATCTCTCTCTCTCTCTCTCTCTCTCTCTCTCTCTCTCTCTCTCTCTCTCTCTCTCTCTCTCTCTCTCTCTCAGTGTTGACCAGTTGGTCAGATCGAGAGCGCTGGGTTCTCCCGCTGTGCCCTGCCTGAGGGGCGTGCCAGTACAGAGTCTCTGAGCCATCTGGTGCCCAGCACCTTCACCGGTGTGGACCGAGCGGTCAGCATCCACAAACAGCCCTCAGCAGCTCACAGAACAGCAATTAACAATGCAGCTTAACCGCTTCAGCTCTGCTTACAGACGGACCTGTTTGTGTCAGTAGACCTGTCCTCACTGACCGAACGTGTTTGGCCTTCAGCTCGTGGTCAGAGCTTTTAGTGGAGCCTCAGTGCTAATGGACTGGGCTGAAGAGACACTGCTGAAATTTTTATGAGCAGAACAGTTTGGTTTTCATCACAGACCCACGAAATAAAGACACAAACCCAGAAACAGTGCAGGAGACCAGTGACAGCATGTCTGTCTGTCTGTCTGTCTGTTTGACTGTCTAGCTATCTATCTATCTGTCTATCTATCTATCTATCTATCTATCTATCTATCTGTCTGTCTGTCTGTCTGTCTATTTATCTATCTGTCTTTCTATCTATCTGTCTGTATCTATCTGTCTATCTATCTTTCTGTCTGTCTATCTGTCTGTCTTTCTATCTATCTATCTGTCTGTCTATCTATCAATCTATTTGTCTGTCTATATGTCTGTCTGTCTGTCTTTCTATCTATCTATCTGTCTGTCTATCTGTCTGTCTGTCTGTCTTTCTATCTATCTATCTGTCTGTCTATCTATCAATCTATTTGTCTGTCTATCTGTCTGTCTGTCTTTCTATCTATCTATCTGTCTGTCTGTCTATCTATCTATCTATCTATGTTTCTATCTGTCTCTCTTTATCCCTTAAACAGGCTTTATTTTTGTCACTGTGCCTTTAAGACTGGAATATGTAAACAAGCTCTGCTCTGATTGGCTACCCAGTATCATCCCTCATTCAAAAAGCATTCAGAGCCAAATGAGCAGAGTTAAACTGCTCAAGGGTGAATAGGCAGATAAAGGTGGTGACGAACTGAAACGGGCTGTTTTTGCAGTGAATGGTACCTTTAACAACATAAACGTACAATATCAAACTTTTATTTTAAAAATGAGGAAGATGTAATTATTTATGATATGAGCCCTTTAAACAAGCATCAGCCATCAGGAAACATATCTGAAATGACTTTCAGGGCTTTTCAAGGCTTTGAATAGACACTACAGAAAAAAAAACAGTCTGAATTACTTTGTTTACATCTCAACAAGCACATTTTTGAGAATGCTGAGATTTAAAAAAACAAAGGTGAGATTTCCCTTTAATCACTATATAAAATACACAATCACGTCTTTGTTATTCATTGCAATAAGCCGCTTCGTCTTAACTGCACTGTGTCTGAGTCACTTGTAATGCATTATCACCGGCCCTGTCTGATGTGTTCATGGAGGCCCTGAAGCAAAGTGATTTCATTTCACTGTACATTTGTGTGTGGAAGATATTCTTGATCTTCATCTATTGTCCTTTTCTCTGTCCACTTTTCTCTGTCTATCCGACAGCTGTCTGCACTCGTCCACATGGGACCCCCTTTTTTCTCCCCCATAGCTGAGGGCAAGTTCAGTAATCATGGGCTCAGCAGGGGTTAAACATTCATGAAATTCATTACAACACGTGCACACCCACCCGCACACCCACCCCCACGTATATACACACACATACCAGGGGCACATTTGAAAGAAAGTGATTGCTAGCGCTGATGTTGTTACTGGCCTTATGTGTCAGTGAGGGGAACAGACTCAATATGTATTACAATAAGATGTCCGTTCCCTCCAAAGGCCTGATGTGGAGCTAATGGCCATAAAACCATCCGCTCTCGCGCTCGCGCTGCCCCATCTATAAGTATGAGTGGAGCAGGACTGCTAAGTAGCTGACAGGCAGAGGAAAAAGCAATAGCAAACAAATCAATATGGAGATGGGCATAGATAAAACTGAGCTTTGTATGCATCAGCAGATCGGAAAACACGAAAGAAGTGCTGGATGTTGGCGAAACTGGGAGATTTCTCAGTTTCCTTCGGTTTTATTGGTTTTCCATAACAGCTGTGTTCTCAGTGCATCTCTCTAGTAGTGCGGGCTATGTGCAAAACAATTTTATATCATGGAAAACTAGATTTTAACAAAATAACTACCTAAAATTAATAGAAATAGTTTGATGCACTGTATAAACTGTAATATTTCTAATCTACCACTCTTTCTCCAGCCCGTACAACCCATATATGTATAAACTAAGATGCAAAAAAAGCTAAACTAAACTAAAAAGGGCCTGTTTTGAATTCTTTGTGGTTGTGATGTCACAACCATGAACACCTTTCCACACGGCCTAGTTCCAAACATACCATGCAGTTCTGTGGAAACTAAGCTTCAGATGCCAGCAGCTTTGAATTAGTCATGGTTGTGATGTCACACCTGTGAGCACATGACCGGCCATTCATTGTACAGTAGTTTAGCCCCGCCCATTCACACGGAAGTGATGCAGAGTGTTGTTCCTGCAGAGCAGGAGTTGCTGGAGTGAAAGAAAACAGGAAACGAATGGGGAAACAAATAAACGTTGTGCTGTTCTTGTCTGTCGGGCAGCAAAGTGATCATTGCAGCCTTCCATCTGAAAGTTTTCCAATCTGTTCCGAGCTACACGAGGATTTCAGCCAATTCGTTCTGTACATTTCAGCCTGGACCTCTGCTAGAATGAGGCGAAACACAATGTAGCCAATCAGGACATGTTAAGTCATTAACGTTTCGCTGTTGTCGGAACAAAACCTCGTATCTCCAAAATGGTAACTTTACAGGAGGAGGAAAAAACTTACTTTACTTTTAATGCAAGTCAGTGGAACCAGACTTTTTTCAAAGCAATTTTGGGTCGTTTCTTTTGGCCCATTCATCATGGAATTTACACACAATGTAAAGAACAACAGGTATTTTCAAATTATGTCAAAAACTGAAAAATGGAGATACAAGGTTTTGTTCCAACAGCAGCGATATATCAGTCTTAAAGGCACAATAGCATATAAATCCTGTTTAACTATAAAGCATAAAGAGAGATTAGAAAATGTGTGTATATGGATGAATTAGGTTGTGTTTCTTGGTCCAATAAAATCTCAGTAGTTCTCCAGTAACTTGGGGATAATGATTAATTTAAAAAATTTTTGGTCACACAAACATTATAATTGAACATTAATGTAACATAATAAAATATAATACAAATTTAGACTACGAGTCCTTTAAATGTGCGAAAATAAACCCCTAAAGACGACTTTTGAGAGATTGTTGTTGGTGCACTATCGCTTCCCAAAGATAATTCAGTCAGTCTGCTCTCGGTAAAAGTGATGCTCAGTAAACAAAGAGCAAAAAAGCATGAATTTTTAATTAAAAGGAGAGACAGAGACTCAGTTACTCACCCTGGATCCTGGAGCCTCAGCTGACGGGACGGGGGCTCATGCTGCTCCTGACTGGATGCCGGAGGACGATTCGCAGTGTGATGGAATCACTGTGCACACTTGCACATGTATACTCACTGTCCAGGAGAAGTCGTTAGACGGCACTGACTGCACCCGGGAGCAGTGATGAAATGAATGAGACGAGAGAGAGACAGAGACACAGAGAGAGAGAGAGAGAGAGAGGGAGGAAGGGAGGGAGGAAGGTGCAGCGAGGATGGAGGAGGGGTAGAGTGAGTGTGGGTGGTGGGGGGGGTGCTTTCTGTCTCATATGTACATGAATCATGGGTTACTGACAGTGCAGCCTTTATTACCTAGACAACATTGCCTGGAGAAATAGAGCTATAAGGGTTGGAAATACAGGCTAGTTGGTTTTGTCCAGTGATACGAATGACCTGAGGTGGACCAGCTGGGATTTGCTGCCCTCTTCCTTCTGGTCGGTGTTTTCATTAAGTTTCATGATGAAACTGTCCTGAATAGGCATTGTACAATTTCTGATGGACAGTTTGACCAGCTGTGAGGTTACGGCCGGTCGCTAGGCTAACCCAATCTAGGCCACCTGAGACCCTGCTTTTATGAGAGCCGCCCCACCCAGCCAACTCAATTAGCGCTGGTCCGCTTTCTTTGGGTTAGCCCGAAACATTCGCTATCAAAACAGCTGGCTGGTTTAAACAACTGCATAAATAAAATTAAATAGAGAATAAATTCCATTGAATAAACAAATTATTTAAAAATAAAAAAAAAGCTTCTAACAAAACGTGGCAAAGACATGTTTGCTGTCACGGCTAATGTAGCTAACAATAAATGGATGCCTACAGCCTCTGGTTAGCATGTTCAAGCTTCTCTCAAACTGTTGGCAAAGATTTTATCCAATCTGATTGAACACATTCCGATTATAGATTAAGACTGAGGTGTTTATTCTCACTCTACTCAACAATCTGATGGAAATCTCCATTTACATGCTCACTACAAGTAATCTGATCCAAAATGATGCGCATGCATGGAGAACCACTTAGAGTAAACGTTACCATGACAACCAGCATCACGTGAGTCCAGTCAGAGTGAGATGAGCAGCAGTGAGCAGCGCTTGTGTTTTTAATGACTTTAAAATGATGTCAGACTCAGGAAAACGTCCTTCACATGTCCTTATTAAAGAAGGCCGAGAGGAAGACGTTGTGCTCTGAGACACATAAGCTGGACGTCCGTCCCACCAAACTTTCACTATGACGCGACGAACATGATCAGAACGTACTTAAACTTTCCGATAGGGAATGTAATCAGATACAGGCGTTTACACGGATATTATTCTTCTATTTAACAGATTATTTACAGGATTACCCACCTCGTTCAATCAGATAGAAACTGTATTTCGAATGGCTTCAATCAGACTAGTCTATTCTGATTGAGGTGTTTACATGGACGTATTTTATTCTGACTTAACTGTTAGTCGGATTATCAATAGATTGTTAGGCTGCATGTAAACATGGCTACTGCGTCAAGTTGTTCAGTAATCTGAAAAGGGGTTTCTGGCACTGTAGGACACCCTATTATCTGAAAATGGACAAGAGGATGGACAAAAGTCAAGCTTAGCAGGGCTGAAAGATTCATCATTTGTATATCGAAATGGCAATTTGAAAGAAATCAAAAGAGCTGCAATTTTAAGGAAAGTCTACGTTATAACCACAAGTTTTTAGTGGGAAAATTAGCCTAATAACACAGAGCTTGTGAACATCTTGTAGATCACTTAGACCAATCAGAAGCAACCAAATCACCCCCATCCCTGTGCGCTGTGACATCACAACCATGACAAGTGAAAATGTTGCTCTTCTTGGTAAAAAAAAAATGCATGGACCTCAATTTATAAAAAAACAATCGCAATTTAAATTGCAATACCGGTCAGAAAAATCGCAGTTAGCTATTTTGCCCAAATTCAGCCGTAACTCCTAAAGGTATCGTTAAAAACACAACAAATTAATCTAGGTTGAATAACTAATTGTTAAATATTGTTATGTATTATTGTTATGCCCAGGAAACTACTGCAAAATACTGCCCAGGAGAATCCCTAAACCCTAACACTCATCAAGAATGCGAAGATCTATGAATATGCATGATTATGCAAATTGTAGGCACTCCGTTGCCTCTGTTTCTATACCCCACTCCTTCCCTTTTACAATCTCAAAATTAGAAATATTGGATATATTGATTGTATTTAAGACAATTTCACTTGCTCAGATTCCATTTTTTGGCATAAAGCCTTTATCCTGGGCTAGGAAACTGGCCTAAATGTCCAAAAGTTTGTAGACAGCTGCTTGTCCAGGATTTCCTCTGAAATGAAGGGTATTAATAGTGAGGTTGCCCCCCTTTGCAGCAGCAACAGCCTCTAATCTTCTGGGAAGACTTCACACTTGGGGCCAGTTTCTCATACAGTCCTGCACTATAGTTCAAGACTAGATTTAATCCCTCTCTGTGAAACTGGCCCTAAATGTTGTGAGGATTTGATTGCATTCAGCCATAGGATACTGATGTCGCTGCACAGTTTATCAGCCCCCCCTACCCCATTCTTCACTAATCAGTTTCTGACCACAGGACAGCTGCTGGGTTGAGAGTCATCCACCACCCTAAATTATCCAGCCAGGAGTGGTCCTGTGGTCAGACACTGAGCACTGGTGAAGGATTAGAGGCTCTGAGCCTGTTGCTGGAAAGAGAAGGTATGGATGGTGAGTGCGACCTTGGGAAGAGCTGTTGTCATCTGGCATGTGAACCTGCAGGATGGCAGTAGACCAGCTGTAGGAAGGACTGGTCACTCTTGGTCACTGTAAATACACTGATCAGGCACAACATTAAAACCACCGCCTTGTTTCTTCACTTGTTGTCCATTTTATCAGCTCCACTGACCATATAGGAGCACTTTGTAGTTCTACAGTTACAGACTGTAGTCCATCTGTTTCTCTGCATACTTTGTTAGCCCCCTTTTACCCTGTTCTTCAGTGGTCAGGACCCCCAATTTATAAAATAAATAAAATTTATTTACAAAATACAGCACTTAATACAGCATTAAGAATAATAAAAAAAATCATACACAGAATGAACCAATAATCACCATAATAAGATTTCTGTATAATATATATGTTCTTATTATGATTAAAAGTTTTAGACTAAACACCTAAAAATGCCTATAGATGTTTGTTTATTAATATTTGAGTCTATATTGTCCAAAAAAAAGTAACAAAAACTGATTTTCTAATCTGTTTAGCCGTTTAAAAATCATACGCATGCTCTGATTGGGTCTCACCTCCCCTGTTTGCTCTGATTGGTTAATTTCCTTCCCTCTGCGCGCAGATTGGTTAGTCCCGCCCCCTCTGTGTTCGGATTGGCTCGCTCCACAGGCGGGAGGTCGCTGTGCTGCAGTTTGAATTTTCAAACCGACTGGTGAGGTTAGATAGTGTAGCATCAAGTCAGAGTCAGTTAGATAAGAAAACAGACTAAAGACACTCTTTCAGTCAGGCGGCGATACAGCAGAACAATATTCAGGAGTTATTTTTAGGTTTAATTGCATTGCTGCACGTTAACAAAGTCTTAAAAGAGACTGTAGAGTGAGGTTTTAGCGGAGTGTTCATACCGAGCTAACGGAGGGAAACATGGCTGAGACGGACGGAGTCCTGAAGGTAATAACAAAACTTCTTCTTTGTGGATTTCGTCTTTACCGAAATATAACCACAGTCTGGTTTAAACAATGATTAAAACTGCGTTTTTATGGAGTTACAGCTCGCTTTGCTGACTGACCTCACCGTTTTTACAACTAGCTCTACCGGCGTTAACGATAGCTCTGCGCTAACGGTTACTGAGCACGTTTAAAGGGGAATTTCACCGATTTTTTAAAATTTCGGTATAATTCAGTTTTTGAGGTGTAAGCAGTCATTCAGAGTGGTTTGTAGTGGGATGGTTCATTGGCTTCACTCGGATTTTGTTTACAGTGGTGCTGGTAGGAACCAGGTGTCTAGAACTCAAAATATAGCCATTTTATTTAGTTAACCTACTAAGCTACATTTTATTTACGAATGATGGTAAAATAGTGGTAAATATGAAAAAATAAGGTTTCTCTGTGGACTGTTTTCCCCCAGAACGCTGCTTGTACCCCTCCGCATTGAATGGATTCAGATAAATGGATAAACAAAACGTTTTAGGCCAAAATTTTTATCTCAAAACTGCATTAAAACAATGTTATCAGACAGTGTATTAATAACTATTTCACGTAGTAACTTTCTGTGAGGGAGCTTTTAGAGGTGGACGTCTGGTTCCTATCACCACCGCTGTGAACAGTTCTGAGTCTGTGAGTTTGTCTAGAACAGAGCATTTCACACCAAACCACTCTGAATGACTTCGTTTACATCTTAATCATTAAATCATATCGACATTTTGAGAAATTCCAGGACTTCCCCCTTAAGTAAAATTCACCTGTTTGCCTTAGCTGATTGACTGAGACTGTTAATGAAAGCTCATTCGGATGTGCGTTAGCTGGGGATAAAGAGCATTGAAAAATACCAAACTTTAAAGAATGCATAAGCTATAATATTTAACTTTTTTTATACAATAAGAAGTAATAACTTTTCCTTTCAATTGATTCACATTGTTTGATTAGTATATCACAATCTTAACATTTCATTTCCTGACAACTATGGACAGTTACTGACGTAAACATTTTCAAATTTTCATGCTGTGTAACATTAACTGCATTAAAAGCGAGCAGAGATAAGTCCTGCCGTTAGCGTCCCGAATGCTTTGTTCTGGTTTTTCAAACTTTTTGCATAATTCCTTTGTTGTGACATTAAAAATGCCATGCAGAGTGGTTTGGTGTGAATTGGTTCATTGTAGAGAAACAGACTTGGATTTCTTTACAATGGTGGTGAATGGAAGCAGGGGCCGCCATGACTTCAACACAAATATAGCCATTTTATTTACTATCCAAAACCACCAGTGAACACACGTCTTCTGAGGTTTATATGGAATGTTGATGATGGCAAAATAGTGTAAAATCTGAAAAAATGTTTTCTTTGGGGACTATTTTGCCTCACAACGCCCTGCATGTGTCCCTCTGCATTGAACGGATTCACAGTGTCTCAGACATCAGGCAGTGAATGCATAACCATCTCATGTAATAACTTCCTGTGAGTTTTTTTTAGAGGTGGACGTCTGGTTCCTATCACCGTGAACAGTTCTGAATTTAGATTTTATCTAGTTTATCTAAAAATGGAGCAGTTCACACCAAACCACTCTGAACAACTTTGTTTTGTATTTCTGTATAATTCAGTTGTCGAAAAAGTAAAGTCATTCCGAATGGTCTGAAATGAAATGATTTATTGTAGAGAAACTGTGGAGAGGCTTCTTTACAGTGATGGTGAATGGAACCAGGGTGCGCTATGTATAGAGCACAAATAACTATTTATTTATTTATTGTTCAAAACCACCAGTGAACCTACACGTGTCCTCTAAGTTGATATATATATATATATATATATATATATATATATATATATATATAATATTGATGGTAAACTATGTTGCCTGACAACACTCTGCATATACCTCTCCACTATGAATGGATTAAAAAAATGTTTTAGGCCAGAAACCTGTATCAAATGATAACAATGACTCAGGCATCAGGAAACACATTTCATGTAGTAACTTTGCGAGTGAGCTTTTAGAGACATTAAGCTCTTCGGACGTCTGGTTCCTATCAACATTACTGTGATCGATCCTGACTGAGTTTCTCTAGAATGGAGCATTTCACCCCAAACCACTTTGAATGACTGTTTTACATCTTAACCATTAATTATTCAGCCTTTTTTTTTGGAGATTCCAAACAAAACTCCACCAGCCTGTCAGTGTGTGAAGCTTCATGCCCTACAGAAAGTGCTCAGTAAGAGTCTAGTGTGTGACCGTTCGACTTCTTTCTCTCCTCCTCAGTCGTACTTTGAGAACAAGGCCCTGAGCAAGCCCAAGAAAAATGAGAAGAGGCTCTCTGTGGAGCGGATCTACCAGAAGAAGACCCAGCTGGAGCACATCCTGCTCCGGCCCGACACCTACATCGGCTCTGTGGAGCCGCTCACGCAGGTGGGTCACGAGTCTGGACAGCCCCCAGAGAATAATGAGTTTTTGGCAAACAATTAAATCTACAGTTTTCCTCTTACTTAAACGTAGCCGAGACCTGATTAACGTTTGAGGTTTTGCCGCATTAGTGTTGCGCTTGAGCTGTGAGGTTAATGGAGCTGACAAGTAATGGATGGTTATACAGTTTGCACAATGCAGAGTAGTTCTAAGCTTCCATTGCATACCAGCTGTTTTGGCCTAGGAGCTCCAGTACAAATCTAAAGAAGCAAACTTTAGACACCAAATGTGTGTTGGCAAGCAACTACATTTGGAGAAAAAGGGGAAAACTGTGTTAATTCTGCCAAATTATTCCTTTAAACGCTGTAGGCTACGTTCACACAGTAGGTAAAAGTGGCCCAAATCTGATTTTCTCTACAAATCCGTTCACAATATCTTTTTAATGTGACCTGTATCTGACATTAGTCTGAACACATCACGCTTCTAATGCTAACCGTACGCTAGAAGACTTTAAAAAGACTGAAAAGACTTTTAAAAGACTGAAGTCTGACATTCTCTCGCACCTAAAGACGATCACAGTTTTTAGCGACAGGCTATGATTTTGCAAAGACTGGGGGTCTTGCAGGGTCACTATTTGCAAGACTGCAACTAGATTTTTGAGCGCATTTCCCATCATGCACCTGGTGGAAATTTACAAGCAGAGAAACCCTTTTTCTTTCTTCACTCTATAGTAGTACAAATGGAAAGATATGTTAACTGGGCATGTAAAGATCCGGGGCTCAGCCCAGTTCACTGTAGAACTGTATACTCATGCAGATCAGAATTTTTTTTAAATGAACCTATAAAAGGTGCAGTTTCTTTTTTGTTTAACGTAAAGATTTACACATCAACAAAACATGCAGCGATTCAGCATTGTTGATTGGGTGTTATGAACTAAACCATAAAAAAGCTAACAAACAAAATAAGAAGCCACTATAAAGCCAAAAAATGGAAAAAGAACATCGATGCCTCTTCAGTAATGCCATTCTTAAAGTCCTTTGCACGTTTCCTTACATCAGTGTTCAAAACAGCCAGCTTAAATTTTTAGATTAACATGATTATTGTTTTAAAGTTGAGCAGATTCGCCTTTTTTACAGAGATTTCAGGCTCTCATGCATGCATTTTCTCTCTCTCTCTCTCTCTCTCTCTCTCTCTCGCTCTCGCATGCGCTCACTCTCACACGTCACTATTTGCATGAGCCTTGCATGAACATAAAACGGACGATAAAATTAAACACGGTTGGTTTGATCGTAGCGTCAAGACGAGAAAGACTGGCTTAAGACGGCCATCCTGACCACCTCACACTGCACCATCGAGATGACGCGAGCGCGACGCAACTCCATCAAGACTCTCATGATTTTATTCCGATATTGGAAATTTGTCTGCGACAGTGAAATCGCTTGAAAAGTTGTTTGGTGTAAGGCCGGCATTAAACTGACCCACATGTGCAGAAGAACAGCGTTTCGCGTGGCATGTTGCCGTTGCTCAAAGAGTGGATAGTGAGACTTCACAGGCTGAGGTGTCCCAACTGCACATGACTGCTGTGTTACCGAAGGTGTCCCATGGAGTCCATGAGTCCACAGAGCCAGGGAGCACATGAGAATGTGTGCCACTACTGCAGTCATATGGGTCCTTGCACATGCATGAAGAAGTTTGAGGCAAAGAGTGAAATGAGTTTAGGGAAAACTCTGTCCAAGTCAGTGGGTGGGGCTGTCCTCCCCAAGGTGGCAGGTAAACTGTTAAGGCTAATCCAGAAAGTAACTCAGTTTTCTGCCATTCCCACAGGGGAGGATCAGTTAAAATACAGATAGCTGCTGTGGGAGCGCACACTCTCAGAAATAAAGATCTCAGTACCTTTAGTTAGGGAACGTAACTGTACCTATAATCCACTTCAGTCATATTTTCTAAGTTGTGTTGACTCCACACACCCCGTCTCGTCTCCAGGCTTTTTATTTTACTGTTTTGTTTTAAAACATCAGGTTATGTAAAGATACAAATATGTACTTTTCACCTGGAAAAACTTATTTTTGGTGCACAACTGGACTTTAAAACCACTGTTGTACCTCTTGAGGGAACATTTTACATTGTTTGTACCTTGAAGAACGAAAAGTGTAGCTGCACAGAACCTTTATTTCTAACAGTGTATTTATAGCCAATTATGCATGAGCAGAGTAATAGAGTATATGTGAAAACTACCGTGAATCATTAAGCGATTTACATCACTGTCTTGCCATCTTCATGATTGTCAATGAGTGGAGGTTTCATCTTCTCCAGCATCACAGGAGCTATCACTGGAGTCATGTTCTCCTATGGCCGAACGTTCGGCCATTTCTTTCAGAATCTCTTCAAACACAGAGCGGTTGCGATAAGTGCCTTCTAATTCTGTTAGGTATAGAAACGTCATCCCAAATGTTTGAGGTCTGTTATGTCACTGTCCCTCCGCTGACATTCTGCCTCACTGTTGTCGCCCATTTTTCCTTCTCGGCAGTACGAAATTATGCCGAATGTCGAGTTGTGTTGCCGAATATTGGGTGCGTATTGGATTTCAGTACCTCATATGAAAATGTCAGATTCACTGTGTTTGTGCTATTCACACTCCACACAGATAACACATCTGTCACATATCAAGAAAAAGATCAGATTTGGGCCTTAATGTGCCTTAATTCCCTTCTCACATCATATTCTGAGAATATGTGTGCTGAATATAACAGTGCTTGCTTTCTCTTGTTTTCTTCTTCAGCAAATGTGGGTTTATGACGAAGATGTAGGGATGAACTGCAGAGACGTCACATTTGTGCCTGGCCTCTACAAGATCTTTGATGAGATCCTAGGTATGCTCAGTGAACTCGGTGAACTCGCTGAACTCGCTTGGTTGTTTTTGGTTTCAGTGCATTTGCGTTCATAAAGGATGTGATGAAGTCCTGCTTAAAGCCATGTCAATACATGACAATAATTTATTTGTATCTTCTTATCCAAAATTTCTGCATCAGTCGGTGATTGAGATGTAAACAATTGTCATTTAGAGCGGTTTGTTGTGAAGTGGTTCATTGTTTAAAATAATTCTTACAGCTCAATTGAGATGAAAACAGTTTATCTAGAGTGGTTTGTCAAATTGTAGAGAAACAAAGACTCTCGATTTCCTTACAGTGGTGTTGATGATAACCAGAGGTTGTGACGTCTACAACAGAAATACAGCCGTTTTGTTTACTATGCAAAACCACCAGTGAACCTACGTGTGTCTGAGTTTTTATGTGATGTTGTTGATGGTAAAATAGTGGTGAATTTGCATGCATCTATTTGCCCTGTCTGTCATCTGGCAGCATATTGATAACCATTTCTCATAATAACTTGTGAGGGAGCTTTTAGAGGCATTAAACCTGGCATCAGACATGTGGTTCCTATCACCACCACTGTGAACAATTCTGACTCTGTTTCTGTAGAACAGTGTTTCACACCAAACCGCTTTGAATTATTTTGTTTACATCTTAACCATTTAATTATGCTAAATTCTAGAAAAATCTAATTTCTCTTTAACACCTGTAGATAGCAGTAGCTTTGAAAAGGCTAATGAATCTCAGGAGCTGTTCTTTTGGCTTACCATGTGCTACGTATTTGCTCTGAGATATGACCAGCTCAAGTTTGATATGTGGACACACTTTAGTTTTATTAAGATTCAGATTCGCATCGATATGTGGATAAAGTGGTTTGTACGCTGTGCCACCTTTATGGGATTTGTTCTGTGTGTCAACTGCTGTGATTCAGTTGTGATGTCTTAATGTGTGATGATATATTGAATTGTGATGGCCGTATCCAGCTCTTAATTTTCCTGTTCAAATTAACAATTGTTTCCCTTTACAGTCAATGCTGCGGATAACAAGCAGAGAGACTCTAACATGAACTGTATCAAGATCAACATTGACCCGTGAGTATTTAAGGTCAACCCCTGTTCTTTCCACAAACACAGATGTTTGTTTCCACCACTGTGATTTTAAGGAACATGTGGAACGGAAACTGTTCCAGTGATAGGTATCTAAAACCTCTCTTCATCGCTTTCAGGGAGAACAACACCATCAGTGTTTGGAACAACGGGAAGGGAATTCCTGTGGTGGAGCACAAAGTGGAGAAAGTCTTTGTGCCTGCACTCATCTTCGGCCAGCTGCTCACATCCAGCAACTATGACGATGACCAGAAGAAGGTTACAGGTGAGGTACTTGGGATCTTTAAGCGTTTTATCTGCAAAGTTTTCTGAAGCTCCTCCTTTTGCTTTGTTCATGGTTTTTTAACCCATTACGGTTTCTTTCCTTACATTTTAACTTAGGTGGTCGTAATGGTTATGGTGCAAAGCTGTGCAACATCTTCAGCACCAAGTTCACCGTGGAGACTGCCTGTAAAGAGTCCAAATTCTCCTTCAAACAGGTGGGTCAGAAATATTTGTATTCCTTTGTTGGATAGTTGAATATATGTGGTAGATGATTCACAGGGTGCTAAAAAAAGTCACTTGCTTTGGATACCAAATTCTGAAATATAAACATCTCTAACATTTTTGTTTTTTCTCCTTGCATGAATAAATAAAGTGGATGTAAACAGTGGAGCATGTAAAACTTCACATAGAGCTTTAATGAGGCTGAAATGATAGACAGACATGTACAAATGTTTACAGATTGGTGAAATAATGTCCATCTCTTCTTGCAGACATGGTATGATAACATGGGCCGTGCAGGTGAGGCGAAGATCAAGCCGTTCAGCGGAGATGACTACACCTGCATCACCTTCCAGCCAGATCTAGTAAAATTCAAGATGCAGGCGCTGGACCGAGACACTGTGGCTCTCATGACCAGAAGAGCGTACGATGTTGCCGGCTCCAGCAAGGGTGTGCGTGTGTTCCTCAACGGCAGCAGGCTGCCAGTGAGTAACATGTCTCAGTCGTGATGATGTTTAAGCGACCATTTGACAAAGCAGTCGTCAAATTTCAAGAGCTTTAAATTTAATTGGATCTTACGTTATTCAGTGCTGTCATTGAGGAAATTTAACCTAGTAATGCAGAACTCACGAATTGGCGGTCTACATTCAGCGGACCCACTGCATTCAGCTTTCAAGCTCAAAAGTCCGGAGAAATAAATGTGTTTTTGCTGGAGAAAAAAAGTCTAGATCTTAATTTGTAGAAGATAATTGCATTTTATTGCAGTTAGATATTTTCCACGAATCGTTAAACCCCAGCACATCAGGCATAATTCTAATTCAGGATTTGTGCACATTAAAAAAGGTGCTGTCTCTTGCAGAACTGGAACAAGGTTAACTAGTAGCAGTTGGCTAACAAGTGAAGGAAGCATATGAACATCGATTACCACTGCACTAAACATTAGGCCATGTTGAGCTGTTAAAGAAACAAAGCTCTGACTTAAGGAGTTTCTGAAAACGCTAACCTAGGGATCTCCATCACTGTACGACATACCAGTAACTATAGAAATTGACATAAGAGAAGTAGTAGTAGTACAAGGGCAATAGTAGCAGCGTTGAAACCTGATTGTTGTCTGTTTTTCTTCTTCATAGCTAACAGAATGTCACACAGAGTTTAAGCAAGTCTAATTGACATTATTTAGCAACTCCAACATGCTTTGAGGCAAATGTCGGATCATTCAGGCAGTTTGCACGATGCCAGTTGGTGGGGTATAAGCTTCTATTTGCTTGTTAGCTACAGTGCAAACTACTTCATTTTTCTTTTATCTTTCCACAAGAAGTTCCACAAATAACAAACTTGGCCAAAAAGTCTTTGCATTGTTACTTCATTGGATGCTGCGTGTTGGAACTGCTGATTAAAACTCTAGGGACTGTACTTCCGTCTGGTAGATTGTAGATTTCATACTTGCTCTTAAATGTGCATCTCATTACTAGGTTGTAAATCAATTTACTATTTGTGCTACTATCTCTTTCTCTCAGGTGAATGGTTTCCGTAGCTACGTGGACCTGTACGTGAAGGACAAAGTGGACGAAACGGGGTCTCCGCTCACTGTTGTGCACGAGCTGGTAAACCCACGCTGGGAGGTGTGTCTCACTATGAGCGAAAAGGGATTCCAGCAAGTCAGCTTCGTCAACAGCATCGCCACCACAAAGGTACGTTCCTTTCCGTGTGTGGAGTAAATAATCTGTGTTCATCCGGTGTCGGTCATCATCTGTATCATATGTTGACTGCTTTCACCTTTTTTTCGATCTGAGCTGGTTTTCCATTTTTAAAACAACTTTCAGTTAAAATTTTTTGACCTTGCCAAGGTAATGAAAGTATTGTAGTGGAATGAGATTTCCTGAAGTTGTTTCCGAGTAATTTCCTAAAAAAATATAATCAAATCATTGAGATTTACACCCCAACTGTATAAAGTTCATTTTACATAAGTGCATTTTCTGTTTTTTGTTACAACTCTCCATGTGTCTCACTTAGGGTGGAAGGCACATAGACTATGTGGCAGACCAGATTGTGGCGAAACTGATCGAAGTGGTGAAAAAGAAGAATAAGGCCGGTGTGGCAGTCAAACCGTTCCAGGTAACACAAGGCTTTTGGCGTTATGCAGTCACCGTGTCTGGTTTGAGCATTGTGTTCCAAGTGTCTTGGTTTGTGGCTCTTAATGTTGCTTGGCTTAATAACAGTGCAGGGTAGTTTCAGCAGTAAACATATTTGTTGTTCTCCTCCCAGGTGAAGAACCACATGTGGCTGTTTGTGAACTGCCTGATTGAGAATCCCAGCTTTGACTCTCAGACCAAAGAGAATATGACTCTGCAACAGAAGAGCTTCGGATCCACCTGCGCCCTCAGCGAGAAGTTCGTCAAGCAGGTAAGACATACAAACACTTACGCACTGATCTTTTTGGAGCGCTGTACAATACAGACAAGATACTAATGTTGTAGGTGATATGCCGTTCAATGTATTCATAACATAGTGAATCAGTGTTACAAGGGTGAATATTGGCCTGTTTTGTGTAAAAATATACTTTAGTCGGATTACCTAGACTTTGTCCCATCAAAACTTGCATTAAAGCATTCATCTGAGGCCATGATTGCCCAGGATGGTCACAGAACACAGTTTAAAAACACTGATTAATTAAAAAGTTCATTTATATATCGCAGCCTTCTGTGATATCTGTATATGCTAATAGCAAAGCATGTTTTATGAATCCCTACTACATATGCTTTGTCATATTTAATTCTGTATTTCCCAGTCTTGGTCCTGGATGCCCTTAATGAGGCCAACTGAGTGTTTTAAAGTGGGGAAAAGTATCCATGGTGCTTGTAACTGAAATCTTAACTGCAGGTGATTCTAATTGCTTTGCTTTAACTTTGTTTTACAGGCAAATGGATGTGGAATTGTGGAGAGTGTAATGAACTGGGTGAAGTTTAAGGCTCAGAATCAGCTCAACAAGAAATGCTCTGCTGTCAAACACACAAAGATCAAGGGCGTGCCCAAACTGGACGACGCCAACGATGCAGGTATGACCATTAATAGGGGCATTTCTGCATTTTTAAGAAATAGTTTGCTAAGAAAATCAAATTTGATCAGTTTTCCTTTTGCTGCACATGCATTACATAAGTAAAAGTACAACAGTAGATCACATGGCTGAATGCAGCCATCCTAAAGCCTGAATTTTGTCTGTGCTTTTGTTAATTTTACATTAATAACAGTGTCATACAGCGTAGGAAACCACATAAGCATGTCTGATTTTTATTAAGACAGCAGTTCCACTTGCCAGATATTGTCTGACAGCCAAGACATGTTTGGTGTCTGAAGTTTACTTCTACAGTTTTGCACTGGAGCTAGAAAGTGAATGTAGCTAGCAAGTAGTGGAAGCTAAAACACCCACAGATAGCCTTCCTAAGTCATTGTGTTTGTCTTAAAACATTTCGCATGGTTAAGTAATAGATTTGATGATGTGGTTGGCTGACCCTATATGACATGTGGCTTGTCGAGGTTCATTTTCATCATCGTTGTTGTTTTATTGATTAAGCAGTGTGTTTATTGTTTAGGTGGTAAGAACTCAGTCGGCTGCACTCTGATCCTCACTGAGGGAGATTCGGCCAAAACCCTGGCCGTTTCTGGGCTAGGTGTGGTTGGTCGAGATCGCTACGGGGTCTTCCCCCTGAGGGGTAAAATGCTCAACGTGCGAGAGGCCTCTCACAAACAGGTGTGCGGATATAACCAGTTCACTCAGGCTTTTCATTTTTGCCTATTATGTTTGCCTGTTACTGAAATGTTCATGTGTCTGTTACAGATCATGGAGAATGCTGAGATCAACAACATCATTAAGATCCTTGGTCTGCAGTACAGGAAGAACTATAGTGACCCTGAGTCGCTCAAGTCGCTTCGTTACGGAAAGCTGATGATCATGACAGATCAGGTGAGCCTCCTGATTGGAGTTGTAGTTTCCTCTGGTTCATTACAGGCAGTAGTTGTCGTTTAACAGTGTGTTATTTGTCTGGAGTTGGTGGTAATGTGATTGTGTTGGTGATACTTGCTGTAGGATCAAGATGGGTCTCATATTAAAGGGCTTCTGATCAACTTCATCCACCACAACTGGCCCTCACTGCTACGCCACAACTTTTTGGAGGAGTTCATCACTCCCATCATTAAGGTGGGTGAATGTATGTGATGGAGACAAAGTGCAGGTTGGGGCCGGGATGCAACTTATATCGGTTGGCTGATAATAAAACTGTATGGGTGATAAAACATTGAGCTCTATTATAAGAAACATTTTCTACAGGATACTAATGGTATCCTGCTCATAGTCTAGTCAATGAGACTGCTAAGCTGACAAAATTGACTTCCTCTGTTCAGGGCTGCCCAAGAATACATGAAGTTGGCCCATAATAATGTTCTCTTATTGAGTGAGGGGTAGAGTTTACCCTGACCTCTACCCCTCACTCAATAAGAGAACATTGTTTTATATTATAACTTATAACGTTGTGATTTCCTTTTATTGTATTTTTTTAAAATTTTGGTAACAAAATATATAGTATAATATTATAAAATAGATCTTTAAACCCTCAGTCTTCATGTATAAACATTGTACTTTCCGTTTTGGCATCCCTGTTCTAGACCTCTCTGAACTTCTGTAAAAGTAATAAGCTGTGAACTGAAATGGTCAACTTTAGCACAAAACACTGTTGTTGTTGTTATTATTATTATTATTATTATTGTTGTTGTTGTTGTTGTTGTTGTTATGGTCATACAAGATACTAAAGTGCTCTTGTACTGAAACTGATCATATAAAGGTATCCGTTAATGTTGTTGGCTGAATTTGTACTGTTTTATATTATCAATGACCACAGTGTCTTAACACATACAGATATACAGACTGTATGGGGGAACACTGGACTTTCTTTATGGGGGGCCCAAAATTGATAATTCGTTTGACGGCATACTCTTAGTAACTGTTACAGTTGTCATTATCTCTAACAATAACCTTATCCATTACTAACCATTAACATCTCCCACTCTCTCTCTAATGGGTCTGCAGGTGTCCCATAAGAACCAGGAGCTTTCTTTTTACAGTATCCCTGAATTCACAGAATGGAAAGAGAAGCAAAGCAACCTCAAATCATGGAAAATCAAATACTACAAAGGTTTGTCCCAAACACCTGTGGTAGTACAACGCCAGATGTAAGCAGCTGTCTTTTATTAGCTGTCTTCTTTCCTGTGTTTGTCTCACAATCTTAAGGTGATGGGGTCACGAGCAAGTTGTGATATTGATGGGTTTAAATTTAATGCTGTAATGAGGTGTTTCTCAGAATATTTTAAGACACGGTAACTGAACATTTTCTTTTTTGGACTAACTTTTAAATCTCGTCACTCCTCTCCAGGTTTGGGTACCAGCACAGCCAAAGAGGCCAAAGAGTATTTCTCGGACATGGCGAGGCATCGCATCCCGTTTAAATACTCTGGGCCTGCAGATGATGAGGCTATCACCCTGGTAACCACTCACACCTTCTGCCAGCCATATTTCTGTGTTTTCATATCACAATTTATGAGTTTGGTTTTTTTTTTTCTCAAATTTGACAAGCTATGTAACAAATGATCGTCATTTGATAATTTTAAATCTAATTGATTTTCATAGATGAGTCCATAAACTTACATGGATTTACTGTAGATAAATTGGCTTCTTCTGCAGTTAAGTACTGTTCCTGAATAAATATTTTGATTGTTTGTTGGGTAATTTACCACATTATGATTACAATAAAACATTTAGAAGTGTTTGAAAAACACCCATTCTCAAACTAAAAAGACCACATTGAATTTTAAAAGCAGAGTAGATTGAATAAGAAAAATGAATAAGAAAAATGTTTTTCAGGATTACATAAACATAATTGAAAGAAATGGAGAAAAATGCTTCACATGCTTGCACAAACAGACATAACTAAACATGCAAAAGCTGAAAGAAAATTATTCGGCTCCACCTCTAAGTGGAGGGAGAAGTGGGGGTTAAGAGCCCCTGCAGGTGTCTTCCCTATCTTAACACAGACTTGATAAAAGGAGTTACACCTTTATGCAAATATGTAAATCATACGATATATATATATCCATCCATCCATCATCTAAACCGCTTATCCTTCTGGGTCGCGGTGGGGTGCTGGAGCCTATCCCAGCTGTCATTGGGCGGAAGGCAGGATACACCCTGGACAGGTCGCCAGTCCATCACAGGGCACACTATATATATATATATATATATATAAATATAATTTTTTTTTGTTGTTTTTTTTTAATATACATACAGTTGTCGATTCATCATTACAAATCAAGAACTATTATAGTACAAACTTGGACTGGTTTAGAAACATAACTGCACAGAGTCATTGGTTAGGTTCTAAGATCTAGCTCCTGTGCCTGGTTGGATCTATTGGAGATGAACATAAACAAATCTCATCTCAGTGTCCCTTTCAAGGAACATGCCAAAAGCCACACAAAGGGCAAAGAACTATATTCTGAGGTGTGGGAAACCTATTCTTAAGAAAAATACTCTCAATTAGAATAAATGTAGGTTTGTTTACTGGAGATAATCTGTATCTCTTTATGCTCTTCACTGGTTTGGTAACTTACTGCTTGTCCCTCTCCAGGCCTTTAGTAAGAAGAAAGTGGAGGAGAGAAAGGAGTGGCTCACCAGCTTCATGATCAACAGACGCCAGCGCAGAGAGCACAACCTGCCAGAGGTCTGCATATAATGACAATGGCCAGAAGATTGATTTAGTTATTTATTTATTTATTTATTTATTAATTGAGTGGAAGTGCACTTTGTAAGACCTCGTGTGGCTTTCTGTGTGAGCAGGAGTACCTGTATGGTAAGGAGACGTCGTCCCTCACCTACCATGACTTCGTCAACAAGGAGCTGGTGCTGTTTTCCAACTCTGACAACGAGCGCTCCATCCCTTGCCTGGTGGACGGTAAGACATACTATACATACCACACACATCCTGCCTGTCAAATGTTTGGGAACACCTAGCCTTTCAGATATTAAAAATAAATGGGCATGTCTTCTTTGTGTACAGCAACTCAAAAGACTAACCAGGTTTACTTTGAGGGAAAACGATATGTTGTGTGAACATTAGTGCCGATATTAGTGTCAGTGCTGCTTTGGGGATAATGCCAAAGCCCCCGTCTTTTCTCCTCTTGCTGTGATGTCCATCAGAATTTAAACATTGTGTGTGTTCAGACCACCTGTAGACCAAAAGAGCTTCATTATGTGCTTTTAAAAGACTGATTCTACATTTTTTTCATGTATTTTTTTTTTCCCTCAGATCCACTATGTTTGTGTGGGTTTATGTACGAGAAACAGTCAGTTCATTTTACATCACATTGAGTTAAACAGACTGTTACTATACCTTTAAGACTGATATCTAAATTATCTCTTTTCTGATTGGCTGTCCTGTATCGTGCTTCGTTCAGAAAGCTGTCCGGGCTGAAACACTCCTTATAACTTCTGGATGAATAGGCAGAGCTAAACTCCAATAGGCTGAAAAAGTGGATATCTGTAAATGTGATAGTTTGCGTGACATCACAAAACAAAATTCAAACTAGGCTGTTTTTGCAGCTTAGTGTCCATATATGGACCAAATGGACCAGGGAGCCAACTGCACATTTTGATAATTTTTAACCATGTTTACAAACTACATCAAACTTTTATTTTGTAAAATCCAGGAAAGATTAGTTTTCCATGATATGAATCCTTTTAACAATAGTTTGGAAAAGAAGACTCTCAAATCATTGATTAGGCAAAACCTACTCTTTATTAGGAAAGTAACAGTACACTGAAGTCATGGTTTTTCACCCCATGGTTTGGGCGTCACGGTTCGGTACAACAGGGCAGAAAAGCAACAGAAACCCCCAAATGCATAAGGCCAGGTTTCTTTTCATTGATTTTAAACAGACATTGGTGTAAGTAACAGTTTGTTCCACCTAGTGTTGTACAGCCCCCCCCACTGAGGTAGTCAGTAGCCTGTAGTGTATTAAGCAGTAAAAGGTAAAGAATGTAAGCTCATTCTTGTGTAGGTCAGAAGGCAATAGGTCACAGTCGGCCACCAAACTGAAAAGCATGTCTTATGTAAAAAGTAGAAATCCCAAAATTTACCCCTCACAGCTGATTTGAAAGAAGCAGACGGGCCTTGTAGCTCCTGTTTGACGCCACAGTGTGACTGATTTAGTCAGACAGCAGTCAGCTTGAGCTAAGCTTCGCATGGCATGTTGCTAACTAGCTAATGGATTGCAGCTTTAGGGATTCCGGGTGAACTCGCGCTTGTGAAATCTGGTTCTGCATTACATTCATCAATCTTCGCACATAGGCTACCACATATTTTCCATACGGCTGCATGCACCGAACTCTAATGTTAGTACAGTGATGGTTCAGGATGAATACACTCCAACTCTTCATACCTGGCAAGACACTTTGACGGGCGTGAAGCTCAGTGTGGTGAAGTACTCTTACAGTACTGTATTAATAAAAAACAGGTGCTTTTTAACTTATTGAAACACATCTCAGTAGATTCTAATGGAATTTTAAGGAAAATGTTTTGATTATTCTGGAAATTGTTCTGGTATCTCATTTTCCTCCAGTTTTGTCATTAGCTTACTTATATTGATCACGTTGTGACAACAGAAGTTATTATTAAGTGAGGTTTGAAACTCGTGCTGCCGCGCGTAGTGGAAGACTGGCTGAAGGGGTGAATATAATCATGCAGAGTCTTTGCAAGACACTGGGCAAGAACTTTAGATTTACAGTGAGCTTTGTGTTTGTCAGGTCTGAAGCCAGGCCAGAGGAAGGTGCTGTTCTGCTGCTTCAAGCGAAATGATAAGAGGGAAGTGAAAGTGGCTCAGCTAGCTGGTTCAGTCGCTGAGATGTCCGCCTACCACCATGGAGAGGTTTGTTTGTTTTATTTACCATCTTGGTCATCTCTTTTTATTAGCTACTTTGAAAATTTAAGGCGTCCACATTTGTACAGTCTTAACACCCTTCTTTATGCCTCATGACTGAAGAAAGTCCAGGTCTGATTTGAGCTGTTTGTTTTTCGTTTTTCGCTTTTCTTTTCTGTCTCCCTGCCTCTATCAGACGTCGCTGATGATGACTATTGTGGGTCTGGCACAAAACTTTGTGGGCAGCAACAATCTGAACCTGCTTCAGCCTCTGGGTCAGTTTGGCACGCGCCTGCACGGAGGCAAAGACTCAGCCAGTCCCAGATACATCTTCACCATGCTCAGGTATACAAACACAGACACACAGAGCCAGTGTTCACGAATTTCCCCTTTGCACTAAAGGAAAATGGACAAAAGTATAGATAAACTTGGTAGCATATCTCCTGCTGCTGTTTTTCGACTTTTTGTACGCAACAGTACGTCATACAGCAGGGGTGCCCAATCTTACCTGCAGAAGGCCACTGTGGCTGCAGGGTTTCATTCAAACTATGTGGAAGTTTGTGCTGATTTAATCAGTTAGTCATCTAGTTGATTAATTATGCGAGATGTGCCCTCTGCATGGTTAGAATGAAAACCTGGAGGTGTGTCAGATTTGGTAACCTGTCATAGTGTCAGACTAGGGAGTTTTTTTTATTTTTGGTTTCTCAGGTTTGTGTGTTTGTTTTTTTTTTTATAAAGCAGTAATATTACTGTTCCTCTAACCCCACCGGTGCTTCCCCCTCCCTCTGCAGTTCTCTCACCCGGCTGCTGTTCCCGTCTGTGGATGACAACCTGCTTAAGTACAACTATGACGATAACATGAAGGTGGAGCCTGAGTGGTACATTCCCATCATTCCCCTAGTTCTGGCCAACGGTGCTGACGGTATTGGTACGGGCTGGGCCAGCCGAATCTACAACTACGACGTCCGTGAGATCGTCAGCAACATGCACCGTATGCTCAACGGCGATGAGCCGCTGCCCATGGTGCGTTAAACTGCCCACAATAGCAGAAATTTTTAGATGCAAAATACCTCAGACTTGGCTCTCAGATTACTCACTCACACTTTTATTAAGCTGTGGATTCTTTGCAAGGGGGAGTATTAAGCGTGCATCACTGAAAGTGAGGAAACTGGCACGAGCCCACACCAGCAGGATCTCGCATATATGTACACGCTACAAATTGCACATGTATGAACTGAAAGGCCCGAAGCTCATACTACATAACGATGTGCGTTTGAGGTGTACATGATGCTGTTGCAGTACATCAAATCTTTGTACATATACGGGAGCCATTCGCTCGGTCTGTGTAATGTTTTGGGAAAATTCTGGAGAATAGCTGTTAAAAACACGACAGTCGTTGTTTTTTCTTGTGTAAGTGCATTGTTTAGACCAAATCAGCATGTTTTGTGAACACTTGTTGATGGTACTTCCTGCTGAGAAATCACATCTGGTCAGTGGTGGAAGAAGCTAATTTGAAGGAGTGATAAGAGAATTAACTTGAGCGAAACATGACTCCAAAAAGTAGCTTGTTGGATATCTATCATGCCAAGTTTATTTTATTATTATTATTATGGTTTTTTTTGCAGTTTTGCTTGACTTGTGCTTTCTTTCTTATTTAGCTGCCCAGCTACAAAGGTTTCAGAGGTACCATCGAGGAGCTGGCGACCAACCAGTACATGAACAGCGGAGAGGTGGCCATCATTGACTCCACCACTATTGAGATTTCTGAGTTGCCTGTGAAAACTTGGACTCAGGTCAGTAGTGCTGCTTCTGCAGTGAAAAGACTGAAAGCCTTAAAGTTGAATAGAGTTTTCAGAGAATAAGACATTAAGCATGTTTGCCTTTCTCAGACATACAAAGAAAACGTGTTGGAGGTCATGCTGAACGGCTCGGAGAAGGTCCCTGCCCTGATCACGGACTATAAGGAGTACCATACGGACACCACTGTCCGCTTCGTGGTGAAAATGACTGAGGAGAGGCTTCGAGAGGCTGAAGCTGCAGGTCTGCATAAAGTTTTCAAACTGCAGAACCCCCTCACCTGCAACTCCATGGTAAGGACAAGGCCAAGGCCAGGCCCATAGCACCTCACACAGCAAACCTTATACTAGAGATGGGCACCTTAACCATTTGTGCAAGTTGCATATCTAATTTTTTATTTATTTATTTTTTTTAAACTAACAGGATTTGCTTTGACGTTCATTTGCACACCTAGCATAAGCCAGATAGTTTGATTGATATCTTTGTGTTGCCGTCGTGTGTAATTTAAGACAGTTGCATTTGACTTGGAGAATACAGAAGAGCTTACACGGTATAAGTTTGCACTTAGTCCTATAAATCTGATTTGAATAATTACCAGTCTAAACATCTCCTTGTCCTCATCCATTCATGCAGGTGTTGTTTGACCATGTGGGCAGTCTGAAGAAGTACGAGACAGTGCAGGACATCTTGAAGGACTTTTTTGAGCTGCGACTGAAGTACTACGTCCTGAGGAAGGACTGGCTGCTTGGAATGCTGGGAGCCGAGAGCGCCAAGCTGTCCAACCAGGCCCGCTTCATCCTGGAGAAAATCCAGGGCACTCTTGTCATTGGTGAGAGAACATAAGGGGAAAATCTTCTATTCTTTGTCTGTAATCTCTATCAAGTTGTTTTGTTCCCTTTCATTTATCACCCAGTGTTCTACATTCAATAGATATTGGTCTAACTGGCATTGGTTAACACTGACATTTAATGTTAATGTTTCATGTAATAGCAAAGCTGAAGGAAAGATGTTAAGGTTAACGCCCAACTCGTCCTTGTGATGCTTGTTTTAGAGAACAAACCCAAGAAGGAGTTGATCCGCATGCTGCAGGAGATGGGTTACGACTCAGACCCTGTTAAAGCGTGGAAACAAGCGCAGGAGAAGGTATTATTATTTTTTTTTAAACGTCTGTACTTACTTTGTCTTTGTAGAATATATGCTGCATGTATTGCATTCATTTAGAGACCCCTACCTCGTAGACTTACCTTGCCACCCTGGTTAGAGGTTATAGCTTTGTTGATCTGTTGTTGCGCCGCTAAAACAGTGTCTGGTTATCTGGAGTTCAGTGGTCAGAAAATGATCAATTATGAACGATGTAGGGGCTAGCTGATAAATTATGCAGCAGCAGATGGGCTACAATCTGTAGTTATACACCCTTGCAGGTTTATTTCACATAGGTGATCATTTGGACTCAGATTAGCAATTTGTGCTTTTATTTCTTGCTGTAGGAAGTGGAGGAGGAGGCAGGAGAGGATGATGACCAGAAAGAGGAACAGTCATCAGGCCCTGACTACAACTACCTGTTAAGCATGCCCATGTGGTTCCTCACTAAAGAGAAGAAAGATGAGCTTTGCAAGCAAAGAGATGCAAAGGTAACGATGGGGCTGACCAGTTTGAGCCATGCAGCAAAGGCAGCCAAGATGTTTCTTTATGCTCAATTTTATGCTGTTTTTATTTTCCTTTTCTTGCTGTAGCTGACGGAGTTGAATATGCTGAAAAAGAAGACCCCTTCAGATTTGTGGAAGGGGGATCTGGCTGCCTTCACTGAGGAACTGGAGGTAACTTGCACAACCAAACCCTACAATGTTTCATTGTACAGGGTATTTCACATAGCGGGCCGAGTTCAGAGACACTCCATTGGACAATTTTACTTGTGTTATAAAGCTTACAGAGGAATCCTGCTTTAAGAACATTTTCATTTATCAATGAGTTTTTGAGCTGTTTTTTATAATATGATTACCATTTTGATGCTCAATCTGATGTTTGCAGCAAACTTTGAATCATTGGTGCTTTAGTAGGCAAAGTGGTGATGTGCACCTTCTCACTAGAGAAGAAATCTAGCCTTCACTCACAACATAAACATGGGGAGTTTATAAAAAAAAAGGCAGAGTTTGAAGGGTTTTTTTTTTCCTTCCACTCCTAAAATCAGATGCCTTATGTTTTCTTTAGTGTTTAAAATACTATTATTAGTATATATTGAAATTAGGTGTTAGCAAAGATTTTTTTTACCAGTATGGCTCAGCACTATTTTCATGATTCTCATCATATTCTACAGTGCAGAAGTCAGTTACTCAAATAACTTCTAAATGTAAATCCATTTCAGCCTAATTTTGACCCTTATCTGTCACAGTTAGATCATCTTCATATTTCCTTTCTTCCCACATTTCCTGCTTTGGTTCTGCGCTGCTTACAGTGTACTGTGTTCTTCTTTCTGATCCCATAGCGTTTGGAGCAGGCTGAGAAGGAGGCCCAGACCACAGTGACCCAGGTGAAGAGTAAAGGGGGCAGAGCCAAAGTGGTGAAGATGAAGGACGAGACCAAGCCCACGCCTCAAGGCCGCCGAGTCATCCCCCGCATCACCAGCACCATGAAGGACCAGGCCGTCAAGAAGGCAGACAAAAAGGGAGGAGGCAAGAAAGGCGCAGTCAAGGTGCTGTTTAACGTGTACTGCATCCATTTTGAATATCTGATGTTTATGCAGCTGAGGATTAATAGAAAATAATTCAAAAACGACTAATTAATTTACTGAGTTGCGCTGAGATTCACAGCTGTATGCAGATTGGTAACGATGAGCATTAACAAGTTACATTTATATAATCTGTGTTTAACACTGACCAACTGCATGTTTCTCTATAAAGAGTCTAATTGGTCCTGTTTAATTGGGTTTAGTGCAGCGCAGTATGTGAAGTCAGTGTACCCAGAGTTTTTGTTGGCAGTTTAAGTGTGGCACTACTAGTACATTCAGTGTTCAAACATATTGCGATGCATATTGTTTACCCTTCACAATGTATTTTTGCCGTATTGCCCACCCCTGGCTGCACGTATTTTTCCAGCTTGTGACAGATTTGTACTTTCCTGATTGTTTACAAATAATAATTTCCTCTCAAGTATATTTGCAAGGAAAAGAATCCACTTATTACTCAGTTAAGTTTTTGTGGCTGACATTTAGTTCCTGATTGCCTTTTTTGGGTGTGATTCAATTCTGTTCTGTTGGTTCAGCTCATGGACTGCTTTAGGGGATTGGTCACACATCTGATGTATCAGTCTAGCCTTTGAAAGCCTTTTTTTAGCTTCAGAAACAAGAAAAACAGAGCCCAAGAAACTTCTGTTACTATGCTGATAGAGGCTGGATATATTAAGAAGTTCCATTGGATTTCTAGTTACTCAGTCCTGAAGTAGACATGATACTTTCCTGATACTCTTCTACATATTTCGGCTCAAGTCATTTTCACTCTTACTTAAATATCCATTTAGCATACTCCACCCACCTCTTCAAACTAGTAATCATCCCGTGCTAAATGAACCAGTTCAGAAAATGTCCTTAGGCCAGTCATGTCACAGCTTTTCCCACCTGAAGGTTTTGATTCCTGTATCACATTTTTGTGCAGCTCATAAACTAGACACCAAGATCATTTTAGATATTTTTTTAAATGTAATTATCAATTTTACAGTAATTATAACTTTATTCTGTAACTGTAGAAGTTTCTCAGTCAATTTAAGAATCGTCTGCAGCTCCGATTAATTTGGACTTATCTAAAATTTCTAAAGTTTCATCTAAAGCTAAATCTGTCTCTCTTTTCTCTACAGTCTGAGGGTGATGGGGGTGTGGTGATGAAGATGGAGTTTGAAGATGAGGAAGGAGACCCTCAGGAGATGGGACTGGCTGCACGTCTCACCAAGAAGGTCAAAAAGGAGCCCGCCAAAGAGAAAGGTACTAAACGCGTATACTTTTAAACATATGGCGCATTCGCAGCATTTGGACATTTATTTTATTTGTTTAATACCTCAAAGTTTGTCAACATGAATATTAATGGACTTCTATTAGCTTTAAATGTGACAGATTAGCAACCGTCTGTCATTTAGTTGGAACCTTGAGGGTTGAGGTGTTTTCTTTTGTCAGGCTCCAAGTCAGGGAAGCAGACCACACTCCAGTTTAAACCTGTGAAGAAAGAGAAGAAGAGAAGCCCCTGGTCTGATGAGGAGGATGAGGAAGACAGTCCTTCAGCCTCTGATGTGACCACAAGCCCAGTGGAAGCAGCCCCGAGAGAGAAACTCGGAAGAAAAGCTAATGGTGAGCACTTTCACACACCCTGGTGTGTCACCAGCTTTTAAGACCCTCAGATTGACCCCTCGGGGCGTTTCCCTTGGGGTGTTTCCTCGGATGCAGCCTTTGTTTGTTTTGGTGTGGCTCATTTAGCCATGCTACATTTAGAAAGGCTTCTGGGGTCAGTGCTTCTGCAGACTGATAAACACAGTCTTGATTATCAACGCTGCCTTTGATCAGAAAACAAACTCGCTAACTGAACACAGCCAGTGTTCTTCTGAGAGGACGGGTCCCATACTGGTTACCAAGGTTTTCATAAGTTTGTCCTGATTTATCTGTTTGAAAATAGATACATCAGGACAAAATTATTGACGAAGAGGGGGAGACTAAGCTTTAAGGCCTTTTTACAGAAAAAGTAAAAACTAATGGCGGGCCCTGCTTTGCAGAGTGTTGGCTTTGAGCTGCTGTTAAATGTTTTTCTAGCTGAATGGGCTGTCTTAGAGTTGTAGTGACTGAATGGAAAATAATAAATGAATCATTGTTTTAGTCCTCTTTAGTCTTAGTCCTCTGCACAAGTGTTTAATAAAAACGTGTCAGTGTGAGTTTCGGTACGTTAATCATTTGTTCTATCTATTAAAAACAGCTTGACTTAAAAAGACCTCACAGTTAATACAGTTAAGCTAATGTTATAAATGAAAAAACTGAGTGTTCAATGTAGCAAAGTCCTAATGTGACTCACCTACAGGGCAGCCCACTGCTGTGTTTAAATCCAGTGACATGGGAATGGAAGTAGGGCTGAGATTTCAGATCATGCATCACAAGTGTAAACACAGTATGGGAAGAAACTAAATTCTGTTTATCCATTTCATGGTCATTATCGATAACTAGCCATAAGTGCTATTCATAAAATGATTGTTTCTCTGGCTCCCCTGTTTTGGCTCACGTTCTTAGCTGTTATTAGTGTGTTTTTATATTTTATTTCTTGTTGTTTTCACTGCCAGTGTTGCCATGTTGTATTGTCTTTACTGTAACTATCTGTTGATCCTCTAGAGCTGGGCAATATGACTCTTATCTTTATTGTGATAAATTACATTGCAAGATGTCTGTAAACATTTTCTGAATGCATGTTTGCTTAAAAAGAGAACATAATTAGTCCTGTTCAGTTGGATTTAGGGCAGTGCAGTGTGTGATGGTGAAAGCAAGTGATTGGATTCATGGTATTTGATAGCATTTTTTTAAGTGTGGCACTGCTTTGTCTTTTCTAACTTATCAGATGTCAGAAAAAATAAATTTCACAGATTTAACACATTGTGTATCCTAAAAAACATCCTGAAGTATGACGGTATAACATTTTGCCATATCGCCCACCTCTACACTCCACTATCTGTCGGTCCTACTGTTTCGGAACGATTGAAGTGTAGTGTATACACTCATTCTTGGTATTCCTCGCTGTGTTTTTCTGCTTCTAGCTGCTGTTAAGTACTGCCTGTCCAGCAGCGAGGATGAGTCTGAGAACTGGGAGAGTTTGGGCAAAAAGAAAGCTCCAGCAGCTGTTGATGATGATGACGATGACGATATGTTTGCTCCAGAGCCCAATGCGCTTTCTGACAGTGAGCAGGACTCTCCTGTCCGGCCTCCACCGTGAGTATCAAGCACTTTTTATATATTTTTTAATCCTTCTCCCCCCCCCTTGTTACCTTTTTACCTCTGGCCTCTTTATATCTCCTGTGTTCACTATATACCTGATTTCCTTTTCAGGAAAAAAACAGCAGCAAAACCTAAAAAGCCAGTGGAGGAGAAAGAGGCAGTCACGAGCGTGGTCACCTGTAAGCACCTTCAGCTTTGACAAATAGTAAAACCTAACCGAATATTGCAATCCACATGTTCTGTATTGAGTCTTCATAGCTAATATAAGTGTATGTGTGTTTACAGCTGAAAGTGCTGCTTCTAAACCTCCAGCCAAGCCCAAAGAAAAAGCTGTGAAAAAAGCAGCAGATGGAGGTGCCAAGAAACCTGCAGCTAAGAAGACAGCTGCTGCCCCCAAGAAGAAAGGAGCAACTGCTGGTACGTCACCACATAACCCCTTAGTCACCCACACATCTGTGGAAACAGTGTCTGCATTGCTCACTGAATGGTCATGAGTTTATCTTAAAAGGCGTTACTCTTCCTGAGCTGATGCCAAATTGATTGAAAGTAGTTAATGGCTCTGTTCTGACAGGTTTCTTTTAATGTTCTAAAGCAGGGCTGCCCAAAGTTGGCCTGTGAGGACGTTTGGTTTGGCCAGAACCTCACCCTCACCACTTAATCAAAGAACAAACATATTTTATGCTAGCTGTATAGATTTTATTAACAAAATGTTGTGTAATGCTTTCAAAATACATTCATAATTTGAAACCTGTCCTCCTGTAGTCATAATGGTTCTTGGACCGCCACACAAACATTGCCTTTTGGTGCCCAAGACAAAATGTTCGATCATGCCTGCTCTAAAGTAAACTCTGTGGGTCTGCAGGTTTGCCAGCATAAACAAATTAGAGTTCTCAGAAAGCCAGTTTATATCTTGAGTCAACAGTCAGTGGAAATCAGTCTAAAAAAGCAGTCACAATATGTGGGGTGGAAAAAAAGTATAGCCAAAGAACTTGTAGAGAGGAGAATTACCACTCTGTAATGTCTTTTGGGTTTCTCAAACGCTAGAGGGCGCTCCTGAGCGAGTCCAAAATGAATGGGTTAATGTGGAGCATTTGAGCAAAATCATAGATTATAAATGCTTAAAAATTTTTAATGTAAAAGAATACATTAATTTCCTAAACAGAGAACAGCATAAAACATTTTAAGACTGCTGTTATATTTTTAAGAGCTTTTAAACTCGAGTTATAGGAGTTTAAAACGGCGCCTCATGTACGTTCATGACGTCTGTGAGCGCGAAACAGCCAATGAGCTGCTCCACTCACCAACCAATCAGCACTCACTAGCAGTGGGGCAGCAGAACACTGGCATTAAATCCATTTGCTTCTTATTAAATTATAGGAACGTTCTGTATAAGTGATTAGAAACTATTTTAACTTCTCGGTTTTAGCCGTCGAGCTCCTTTTACTCCCATTCATTGAGGACTCCCTCGCGGGCGCCCTCTGCTGTTTAACAGTCCTGTTTTTGATATAACGGGGGAAATAGGAAGTGGCCAGGCTTCTCGTAAACTGGCTTTGTTATAGCATCATTCTTAAACATAATGCTGGCATTCTCTGTAGACGTGAAGCAGCCCTCTATCCTTGACGCCCTGTCCAAGCCCGCTGCTAAACCTACAGCCACCAAAAAGACCACTGTCGTAAAGGCGACGTCCAGCGAATCCGAGGGCTCTGCTCCTGCACCGGCAGCCAAAAAAGCAGCCGTTCGAAAGAGGAAGGTCGCACTGAGCAGCGACGACTCGGACAGTGACTCTGATGGAGGCAACCTCATGGCCCGCCTCAAGGGCAAAACCACAGCTGTAGGAAAGGTACGTCATCATAAATCGCTGTACTGATCATGTGGTCATCAGACAGGTGAATGTATTTGATGCTAAATAAATCGAACAATTTGCTCTTTCAGAAAAGTAAGTGGGAGGACGACGATAGCTTTGCACTAGAAGTGACTTCACCCGCTGTGGCACCCAGGACGAAAACAGCACGCAGCACAAAGCCTGTAACTTACGCTCTGGATTCTGACTCTGACGACGATTTTTAAGCCACTGCCCTCACCCCACGTTGCTATTTGTTTCCTAGCAACGTTTTGCTGTGTACATTTATTTTAATACTTGAATTAATAAGATCGCTTTATAAAACTTTGTTACATCTGAATATTCAAATGGAAACTTCTGTTTTACTGTTTTATAAATGACCACATACGGTTTTAATGTTTGTTTGTTTTTTTTCCTTTTCCCCTGAATCTTTTCGAATGTATCAAAAGTGAATTGAAGGTGATGTAGCCTTATAATTCACAGAGCCTTTGAAGTCTTCTATAGAAATGCTTATTTTCTGGCTTTTTGTGTTGTGCTGTCTTGTAAATATTTTCTATGTTGTCTTTTTCCACTTGAAGCTTTGCCCAAATAAACATTATGCTAATATTCTTTGCCTCCGCTCCTTTATTTCCATCCAAGCAACTGAGGGCTTGAGTGAGTTCTTACAGTACAGTGTAAAAATCTTATGCATCTGGGGAAAATTTTGAAAGCTTTTACCTAGGTGGCATTTGTTTGTTAAAAAAATAAGCTAAATACAAAAAAGGTTGGGCGATATGGCAAAAATACAATATTGCAATACTTTAAGAAATGTTTAGGATGCTCAATGTCCTGGTATTTTTAAGACATCTGATAATGGACATAACGTTTAAGAAATACTATCCAAAAATCATGAAAACAATTCATTTTCAATGCTGGTTTCATGTTGTACAACACTAAACCCATATTAACTACTAATTATGCTCAGGAAAAGCATGACACATTATCATGGTATCACAAATTATTGTTTTTTGTTATTTAATAAAATGTGCAGCTAATTGAATTTAACAAATCCGTCAGGCTGAGGTGAAAAGTCAGGAAATAAAATTATATTTTTCTAACCAACATAACTTTAAGAAAAACATTTTACATGTTAATTTGTATTTATTTCAATGCTATATATTGTTTTGATAGGCAAAAACCTGTTAACTGCCCAGACAAAATAGTTGCAAACAAGTTATAAGGCTGTCGAATACTTTTTGTGGCTCACTGTTAATATTGTTACATATTTCATAGAAAAGTCAAACCCAACATATCCTATGCTTTGTGTCTTTTGCATCAACGGAGTAGTTAACATTAGCTTTTTGGTTCATTATGTTGTGATTCTTCACATCCTGTTTTAACTCCTTGTGTTTTTACATGAACTTGGGTATCTCTGAGGAAACGTCAGTGTAAATCTAGATTCATCCATTCATAAACTGATTTCTTTTCTTTGACCTATCAGAACCAAAGTGATTTTCTCGATGTACCTTGGTTTCTGCTCCTAGACATGATCTTGCATTCTTTAGAAGTCAGATGATAAACCTTCAGGTGTTGGATTAAATTAATTCGGGGGAATTTGGCAGCTTTTGATTGTCAATTAAAGAAACACCCTTCCAATACTTCGCCTTCCCAACTTTTCAAAAAATGCTTTGAGATGACTAACTGCCTGTCTCTCACTCAACTCTTAATTCTTGAGGAGTGGCCATGTTGACCCGTAGGCGATGTAGCTAAAGTCCTAGCTAAGGCTGTTGCGTCTACATGCAGATATTTCCTGCCATTACCCAACCAGCTTGAGACCCTCATCAAGCTGCATAAACACAAGCTTTGTTTGGCCCTTTGAAAACGCTGATAAGGATATGACCGTTACTTCCGAGATCTGAATGCACTCCCCCACTTAGGACTTATTCCAATCATCAGAAACGGCTTCCTTCTCCTTTTCTGAGCAGAGTTCTTCAAAGAGCAGAGTAGTGGGTTCAGTAACATTAAGACAATAAGTCCAACCAGGCTGGTATAATGCGTCCAGTCTTGTCTAAGCGAGGATCTATGTCTGGGAAAGATATGATGGGAGGAAACCTCTCTTTTGTGTTGGAATGTGGCTTGGCTCTTTTGAGCCATACCTCTCTGTCCCGGATTTGGTGGTTGCTTTAAAGCTCAGATTCCAAGAGATGGAGAGGACTTTATCGCCTGTGGTAGCAGTTGGATTGTCAAGAGGAACTGAACATTCTGCTGTCCATGAAGGAATTAGGAAAGGACAAAGCAGGATTCTTTCTATGTCAGGTGGTCCTCAATTTGACCATTTGTACAGAGGGGCATTCGAGGTACGTTGTACAGCCTTTTCCTTTCGGATTAAGCAATCTTTGGACTAATATTTTACCTGTTAGAAGAGAGCAAATGTTGACTGTTCTCTTCTGGAAGGCTTGAAGAGAATCTTCACTGACTGCATCACTTCTGTCCTTTCGCTAGATGATTGGGTCATGACTTGATCTTGGATGGACTTGATCCAAGCTTGCTTCTAGCTTGTAAACACAATCTAAGGTTCAAGGTAGAACCATCTTCTGGGCATTTTTGGGCCTACCTTTCCACCTTCCACCATGTCTGACTGGGGCTTCCTGAGTGGACTCTTTGGGTCCCTGCAGGCGCACTCGCCCATGCTGGGCCGTTTCTGGCTGCTCCTCATGCTGGTCTTTAGGATGCTGATCCTGGGCATGGTGGCCAGTGACATGTTTGATGATGAGCAAGAGGAGTTTTCCTGCAACACTTTGCAGCCAGGCTGCAAGCAGGTGTGCTATGATCAAGCATTCCCCATCTCCCAGTATCGCTTCTGGGTCTTCCACATCGTGCTCATCTCCACGCCTGCTTTGGTGTTTCTCATGTACGCCATGCACCACCACAAAAAGTGGCAGGACCTTCCACGGGGTTCTGCCTCAAGCATATTGGAGGCAAAGCAGAAATGGCACCTCAAACGCCTCTACATGATCAACGTGGGCTTCCGCCTGCTGTCCGAGATGGGCTTCTTGGTCGGCCAGTGGTTGCTGTATGGCTTTCGAGTTGAGGCACAGTTCCCCTGCAGTCGCTTTCCCTTGTCCATACACCGTAGACTGCTTCACCTCCAGACCTATGGAGAAGACCGTCTTCCTGGTCTTCTACTTCGTCGTGGGAGTTCTTGCAGCTTTTTCCAGCCTGGTGGAGCTCGTTCACATCACCCGTAAGTGGTTAATGGCGAGCAGGGATGAGCTGGTACCATGGGAGGATGTGGAACTCAAGGGAGGGACTGATTTGCCGCAAAATACACGGAACCTGGCGGCAGCGAGCGGTACAAGTTCGGGCAGAGCCAGGCGGCCACTGTTCTTTCCAGGGAAGAGTGGTAGAAACTACAGGAGGTCAAAAGGAACTGTACGAAACAATGGCAGCACAACGTACTCCAGTATCAAGAGCCTCAACAGCAGCAAAAATCAGAAAAGTACCTCACTGGTGGTCTAAGGACCAGGACTTATTTGTGCAAAGCCAGAGAGGCTTGTTCTGTTCTTTGAGTGGTATAGAGTGATCATTTTTTTCTTGAGAGGATTGTCTTAGCATTTTGAAATAATGACTGAATGAATGTTGAAATAACCTATTTTCTTAAAATTTTGATATACTGTCTCAAAATAATGAGCTATATCTTCAAAATTTTGATTTTTGACTATTCTCAAATTTGCAACTATGTTCAAAAAATGACTGGTCTTAAATTTCAAATAATTAAATAATCAAAAGAATAATCGTTTTTCTTGAAATTTTTAATATTTCAACATAATGACCTTGAATTTTTACTGTCGAAATAAGGACTTGTGAATTACTGTGTTGAAGTAATGATTTCTCGAAATATTAGATTTCTCAAATGTTTTTACATTGAAATATTAAGTTAATCAAATTTCAAGAAAGTAAGGAATTTTTAAGGAGAATGAAGCATAGATACTAAGATACGAAGTCAGTTTTTTAGAAAAAAAAAAAATATTAAATTTAAATTTTAAAGTCACAATTTACATGGTGGGATTGGGCTTCCATGGTGCATGGACCAAGCAAATTTGAAATAATGGAAAGAATTTTGACAAACTTTTTTACTAAAATAAATTTATTTGTTCAGTAGTTGGTCCCTCTGGGTCCTCGAGGTGAAAGACTGCAAAAGTGCTGTAAGATTCTGCACTGTGCCATCATACCTGGAAGTCCTTGAGAAGGGACTGCAGGATCCTGTGTGACATACTAGTCAGCACGACATATGAATTGTTAGCATTAGTTGAGTTAAACACAGAAGGAGGATCGTGTCGACGGTCACCTCCCCACTGATCAGTAGAGTGAAAAGTTGTAGTGCAATGTTGTTTTTGTGTACTATTTATGTCATGGTTCATGTGTGGTTGGGTTTACAGTCTGCAGAATTGTGAAATGGGACAGTAAGCCAGTTCTGGGACTGCGTATCACTACTGGTGATGAAAGAAACAAAGGTCCTTAAAGAAGTGAGGCTACTTAAATAAATCAATAATGCATAATTCAGTCCTCAAACGTTTTAAATTACATAAAGTTCATTTTTAAAAAATATTATATCACACACCATTAACCAGAACCGTTATTCTGTCTTAAGTGTTCGTAAGATTTTTCTGGAATTCTTTATTTACAAGAATACACACCTTATCTTCTGCAGGACACAAATATTTTTCACAAATGCTAACAGATTTCATGTACATTTCACAATAGAAGCTTCTCTAACAGCATGAACATTGTTACATGTTTTCAGTCGCTAGAAGACCAAAACACTGGAATTCATATTTCACATAGTAAGTGTGAAATGAACTGTTTAATAATAATTTAGTAAATGAAGTGTTTAATATAGTCAGTGTTATTACATATTGTTGCAGTTGGAAAAAAATTCACCTGTTCTTTACCGAAACTTTTTGAAGATATAGTGTTTCAAGTTTACTAAAAATATTGAAAAATAATATTAATAATTAATGAAAAAAGTTAAATTTCCATTTAATTGATAAAGTGAAACACATCTTGAAGTTTCCTTATTATAGAATATTGTCGCTCTTGTGGGAAAATCTTCTTAAAATGGTAGCATTACAAGAGAAGTAAATGTTCTTAACTTATACGTTATGTTGGACTGTTTCAATTTCTAAATTCTAGCTGTGATTTTGTTCCGACAGCGACAGCATAGAGTTATATTTTGTTTATATATATAATTTATATTTATTTGTGGAGTTTAACTTATTGGAAAAAATGTGTAAAATGTACATTAATTTTGCTCAGACCACTTTTGATGTAATAAAACAAATTATATATACACCTCCTTGTTTCTACACTCTTTGTCCATTTTATCAGCTCCTGTTCTTCAATGGTCAGGACCACCACAGAGCAGGTATTATATGACTCGTGGGTCATTCTCAGCACTGCAGTAACTCTGACGTGGTGGTGGTGTGTTAGTGTGTGTTGTGCTGGTACGAGTGGATCAGACACAGCAGTGCAGTTTTTAAACACTGTGTCCACTCACTGTCCACTCTATCAGACACTCCTACCTTGTCAGTCCACCTTGTAGATGTAAAGTCAGAGACGATAGCTCATCTGCTGCTGCACAGTTTGTGTTGGTCATGCTCTAGTCCTTCATCAGTGGTCACAGGACGCTGCCCACAGGACGCTGTTGGCTGGATATTTTTGGTTGGTGGACTATTCTCAGTCCAGCAGTGACACTGAGGTGTTTAAAAACTCCAGCAGCACCGCTGTGTCTGATCCACTCAGACCAGCACCACACACACTAACACACCATCACCACATCAGTGTCACTGCAGTGCAGAGAATGACCCACCACCCAAATAGTACCTGCTCTGTGAGGGTCCATGGAGGTTCTGACCACTGAAGAACAGGGTAACAAAGTATACAGTGAAACAGATGGACTACAGTCTGTAACTGCTCCTATATGATCAGTGGAGCTTATATACAGTTTTATTTTCCATATTTTTGAAATCAGTGTGCGCTTTAAAAGTGAAACAGCTGACTAAGGAGATCCAAAGTTTGTTTTTTTTCTGTGTGTTTGTCAGAGATGATGTAGTTGTGAACACAGCAGTGATGAAAACCAGAGATGGAAAGAATTTGCTGTAAGTGTGAGAAATGGAGACGGATCCAAAAGCCTTCGTCAGAATCGAGCCAGGATGTCTGTCTGCGGGTCCAAGAGGGTAAAATACAATATACTGTTTTAAACATTGTGTTTAATGTTGCATAGAAAAAAATAACCAACTATGTTAGTGTTAATGAAAATGTTAAAGATAAGTGATTGCAACTGAAATGGATTCATGTTTGTAACTGAGTGTTTTACAGCCAAATGGCAAACACCTAATGACTGAAAGTTAACATTTCAACTTCTCTGACACATTTGTACATCAGATCGTGCCATTCCACTTCTGTTTTCAGTGACAGGACGCATGAAGTCACCCAGCCAAGTCTTGTTTCTTTAATTTTGCCTGCAGTGCTTTCAGTTTCAACTCAAAACAGCTGTGGAGTAGGTCTTTAAGCCTTAAAATTAAGGCAGTTTCAGAACATTTAGGGGCCTTAAGCAGTCCTATTAGCTTGAAACAATAATGGTGCCGTATTTGGAGCTATATAGAACCATTTTTAAAAAGGTTATTCAAAGTACTGTATACAACAACCATCATAGAACCATCATAGAATGGTTCTTTAGCACCACCTAATTCATATTAAATGATTGGCAGAAATGAAAAATAAAACAATATTTAAAATACTATACTGGAATAGGTGAATACAAATGAAATGAGAAAAATTCTAACAATTCCCAAAAGGTTTAGTGCTTGGACCCCTACTAAATAACCATGGCATGTGCATCAGTTCCACTTTTTTGAGTTTTTGGTATCAAAGTCATCAGTGATCTTAATAAGATATGTTCTGCTAAGGTCACGATTGATGCAAAGAATAGAAAAAAACTGCTCATAGTGGCCTTGCTGTGGCTCAGGAGCCATATAAGCAGTCGCTTGTAGGGCTCTTGAGCAACTACAGGTTTTTTTTGGTTTGTTTTTTGTTTTGTTTTGTAAGTTGACCTGACTCTGATTTTTACAGTCCTACAGATACAACTCAGTGATAGCCACCAGGGGGCAGGATTGCATCAGCTTTGCATGAGATGTTGATCTTTGGTTGCACATGCAGCATTTTCTCTGAACAGCAGATCCACACACTGGACGTAATATCGGAAACGTACAACAATGTATTAACATCAGGAATGGAATAAGGATTAAGGCCAGCTTTTGGCCTTAGAGCAGGTTTAGTATGTCTTGTCCTGAGCTGTGGGGTTGGACCCTTGGACCATTCTTCAGTTCTCACCAAATCTTTAGGGAGACCATAAAAAGACTTTATCTCTTTGTTTATTAGACCAATAATGTATTAATAATGTGCATTCAGGGGAGCAAAGGAAAACCATAAGGTGCGTGGTCATCTCCATGTCCAGCACTGCTCTACAGGCTTTTTAAAGTATATGTTCCTTAAAAATGTAGCCTCTCCTTTCTGTTTGTGAGGTTTACCTGACCTTTATATCTTGTGAAGCCTATGATGGCCTGCCGGAACTTTCCAATTTTAGCAACACCAAAAAAGTTTTGTGTGTAGTAAACTAGCTTCCATTGGGATCACTGAAGAAGGTGCCGACCAGGCCCGTGTCCACATAGCTTGGGCTTGAAAATTTGTATGCCTTTAACATGTTACTGGACATAGTAGGTAACCTTAAATTGCTAGAAGTATCGCTCATCTGACAAATTGCATTGAATCTCTTCAGGATGCTGATGTTCAGCACACTGCTAGAAATAAAGGTTCTGTGCAGGTACATTTTCCGTTCATCAAGGTACAAACAACGTAAATGTTCCCTCAAAGGTACAGCAGTGGTTTTAAGGTCTGATTGTGAACCTTAAGCAAGTTTTTCCAGGTGAAAAGTCTGTATTTGTACCTTTTCATAACCGAATGTTTTAAATCAGAACAGTAGAATAAAAGCCTGGAGACGAGACGGGGTGTGTAGAGACAGTACAGCTTAGAAAATATCATTTCAGTGGATTATGGTTCAGTTATGTTCCCTGATTAAAGGTATTGGTGACAAGAGGGGCACTGCCAGTGACAGTTTCGTACCTTTATTTCTGAGAGTGTATAGTGCCCTCTTGACCAGTGGTCACCAACCCTGGTCCTGTAAATCTGCCTTCCTGCCGATAGTTCCACCCTTAATCTGCCACCCTTGCTTAAGATAGACCTTCAGAAGACCCTCTTCAGAAGTACCCAATTGGCTGGATCAGGTGCATTTGTGTTTGGTCAGGGGAGGCAGCATGTTAGAGGCAGGTTGGAACAGAACTCAGTCAAGTAGATCTCCAAGAGGAGTGGTAATCAGCTTGTTTTGGGCCACAAAAATAGCTAAATGCTTTCTCGAGTTCTTACACCACAGGATATATTTACCAACATCTCAACACTCACAG